GAAAAGGAATCATCAGAAAATGCAAGCCAATAGTTTCCTGTTCTATGCACTATAGAGAAAATGCTGAGAATGCTGATTTTTATCCATAAGAAAAACTGATCAAATATATTTACTGATAGGTGAAGTATTCGAGTCAGAACGAAGTCATGCTTGCTAATGCAATCTCAGGATGCATGTTACAATGACATAATAACATGTTTCCACATGTCAAAATCACTTTGTCATTCAGCCTAAAGGTCAGTTGACAGAATGGCTCCAGATTTAATTTTATCATCCCAGTTGACAAGGAGTCACTTCCCACTTCCAAGTTACTTGGATCCCCCACCTCTTTTATTATTCAGCCTTGCCTCATTCAGCAGGCAGAATCTGGAGAATACATTCCTCATTTTCACAAGTTGCAGAGTGGGCAATGGCCAAGGCAGAGCTTCCATATGAACAGTGTTCGTGAGGTGCACAGAGAGCATTTTATTTTCCTAAGAATTTTACCAAAGAGACAACAGACAGTTGATTACAAAGCCTGTGGGAGCCAGAAGTAGCTTTGCAGCTCAGCCTTTGCCCCTGGGCTTGTCAGGCAGTTCTATAAGTCCTGCAGTTCAAAGCATTTTAAGGAATGTTTTCTTGCAACATATTTTGTTTAGCGCAGCCAAGCCTCAAGTGAAGGTTTCTGGCACACGCTATGCAGAGAAAGTTTCAGCACATATAATCACTTAAAAAAACTTGTAATTACTGCATTTACAGACATTTATGCATGACAATGGGTGGAGCTTTTCTGTATAGTGCATAAAAAATTCCTAAGTGAGGAATATTGAGTGTTGGTTAAAAATTTCACTGGAAGCAGCATAACAAATCAAGAGATTGACTAGGTAGATTTTTGGGCACCCACTTATAAATCCATTGCACTTTACACTTTCAAGAGAAATTTTTTAAGCCTTCTCCCAAAAATATGGGTCTCTACAGAAGCTTGTGCTATGGCAGTCATGGTGTCTGAAAGGTTCCTGAGAACATTCAGTACCTACTATTTTTAATGATATGATGGGAAACTGTTTCATGCCTGAGAAATAAATGCCTTTTCTATACCTCAGGGGAAGAGTTGTGTAAGCTCGAATCATTTGCCGTGCCTAGGCTAGTCTTTAAATTCTTGGTTCCAACTGTATGAGAAACTGGAGCTCCCGAAAGTCATGTTCCCATCCCAACTATATGCCTTATAAGGAACTTATCTTACCTGTCCCTGTTTACCAATCCCAGAGAGTTGAATCCAATGCTTTGGTGTCCTGCAGGATGGCCTGTGGGTGCGTGTTTCCATCTGAACATCAATATGCAGATAAGGCTGATCTGTTGCTTCTATAAAGTGACAGATCTTTTATTACTCTGTGATTGCATAGTAAACCAGAGCAAAACAGGTAAAGCACAAATCTCAGCCCTATTTGTGTCTCAGCTGGAAATTGAACTCACAAACATTTACAGACCAAATACTGCAAATAAAGACCTAGGGTTCTGATTATCTTACATCAACAGGAGCTTTTAAATACCAAGATCAGGTTTATGGTGCACATATTTTTGTATATTTTACTACACTTGAATAATTTTTATTTTAACTTCTCCAGGAGAAGGGTAAAGGAACTGGGCCTGTTCAGCCTTGAAAAGAGATGACTGAAAGGGGACCTCATTAGTGCATGTAATTATCTAAAGGGGGGACGCCAAGAGGAGGGAGCCAGGCTCTTCTCAGTGGTGCCAATCACCAGGACACAGGCAAGGGGCAGAAACTGATGCCCGGGAAGTTCCACCTGAGTATGAGGAAGAACTTCTTTTTCACTGTGGGGGTGACCGAGCACTGGAACAGATTGCACAGGGAGTGTGTGGAGTCTCCCTCACTGGAGATACTCAAGAACTTTCTGGACACAATCCTGTGCCATGTGCTGACTCTGCTTTGAGGCTGGACCAGTGACCCACTGTGGTCCCTTCCAACTTGACTGATTCTGTGATTGTGTGAGCACAGCAACTCCCCAGCCAGTGTATACTGTTCCTCTGACTTAAGGACATGCGTGGCTGCTCTTGTTATAAATATTGTCAACGGCTTAGCCTAAATTAAGAATTAACGAGACTAGAAGGCTCGAATCCTCTAAATATAGATTTCTGTAACTCTCCAAGTTGGCCCGTGTATTTCTGGCTCCCCAAGGAATCAATGCACGGCGTTGTGCAGGCGCCTGTTGAGGATGACTATATTCCGCATCGGTCTCCCCGCGGCAGCAGTGGCAGGGGAAGGGGCAGGGTGAGGGCGGTGGCAGGGGCAGTAGCAGGGGCAAAGACAGCGGCAAGGGTAGCGGCAGGATCAGGGCCAGCTGCCCCGGAGCCGCCGGTGCCCGTGCCCGTGCCCGTCGCTCCGGCCTCCGGGCAGCCCAGCCCTCGAGCCGTCCCTCCTGCCGCTCGGTGGTTGGGGCGCGGGGTGAGGCCGGGCCGTGCCGTAGCAACCGGGCGGTCTCCAGGCTCACAGTGGTACCGAGGGCGGCCGGGCAGGCGGCGGTGAGGCCACGGCTGGAGGCAGGTGAGGGCCGCCGGGCGGCCGCTGGCGTGCTGAGGGAGGCGAGGAGGCGGCGCTGGCGGTGGCCCCGGCCCTGCCAGCGGGGCAGCAGCAGCCGGGCCCCGGCGCTGGCGCAGGGCTGTGCCGCCGAGCCGTGGTCCTTCACCCCGGTGGGCCCGGCTTCCCTCCCCCGCCCGTTGCCATGCGGTGTGTACAGGGACGCGGCCGGTTGCCTCAGGTGGCCGCTGCGAGGGCGCAGCGCCGGTGAGCCAGACGGCCGGGGCTCTCTCTGGCCCTTGTCCCGCTCTTCTCCTCTTCCTCGGGCCCCGCTGTGGTTTTGCTATGACAACTGTGCCCTCTTGAGAAGGGACCCCATCAGTGTATAAATATCTAAAGGGGAGCGGGCGGGGGGGATGTGAGCCAAGAGGAGGGGGCCAGGCTCTTCTCGGTAGTGCCAATCACTAGGACAGAAGGCAAAGGGCAGAAACTGATGGCCCGGGAAGTTCCACCTGAATATAAGGAAGAACTTCTTTACTGTGGGGGTGACCAAGCACTGGAACAGATTGTCCGGAAATGTTATGGAGTGTTCCTCACTGGAGATCTTCAAGAAAATCCTGGACACAATCCTGTGCTATGTGCTCTAGGGTAACCCTACTTGAGTGGAGATTGGACCAGATGAGCCACTGTGGTCTCTTTTGACCTGAACCATTCTGTTATTCCATGATTCCATTTCTGCAGTGGGCTTCAGCTTCAGCTCTCTGCACTCCCTTTATCTGGGGTTCAGTGCTTTAAGGTGGTGTGGGGCAGCTTCTTGGACAATAAGGTGTGTGGGCTTTCCCAATGCATTCCTGCCTGTCAGGAGCAGCCCAGTGGAATGGCCTCAGCAAACATTGCCACCCGCACATGTTACATGCTTGTAGCCAGTGGTGGGTTACAGCTTTAGCATTTTGTTTGTGCTTGCCAGAGTGGAAATGGTAGAGGTGCCCAGATGAACTCTGGTTCACCTTTTGAAAATAACCTGTTTGGATTCAGATCTTGGGCTGAAGGTTATCCCAGCTAACATTGGTTTTGAGCTCACTGTTTCTAAGACTTGAGGTAAAAACTCAGTGTTTCCATTGGAAGTTGCTTCACCTGCTTTCGAATGCTCATTTTCATACAGAGCTAGCATTTCATGTCCAGATGTTGTTCAAGCAACTTGGGGTGGTGCTGGAGGCTAAGGCAAGGGAAAATCTGTTGCTATACCTCTGGGCATCTGGAAAATAAAGACAGCACCTGGGATTTATTCTCTGATACATGCTGCTGCCTGAAATCTGTCTTAGCTATTGCTGTGAGAGTAGTCTGGTACTTTTTCTGTGTTCTGAGAGAAAAATGGAACAAGCCTTGTGGCTTGCTGTGGCCTTTTACTATAGGCATTGTCTGCCACAGCTCCCCTGTGCCAAGGGCTTCCCTTTAATTCCCTGATGCCCAAGGCTAGCCAGGGGTTGTGCTGCACAACACCTGGGGTGCTAGGGTGCAGAACAGAGTCCTGCTTTTTTTAAGTCCTCCCTGCCCTTCACACTGTTCATCCCTTCCTTCGTGAGCAGGACAAAGACTGGAATGGTTTATATGTTTCCATATGGGTATTAAAACCCATACAAGAGGAATAAATAGCATGTTCCATTCTGCAATGAAGAAAGAGGTAGAAAGCTAAGTCTTTGGGTTAAATATTTTATCCTGTTTTTGCTTTTACCGTGGGAAAAGCTGCTTGATGACAACAGCTAACAGCTGTCCTGCTAGTGATTCATAAATATCCCTCATTCATTCATCTTACTTATTTAAGGAAAAAAACAAAGCATTGATGTCTCAAAGCAATACACTCAGCCACTGTATGGTACCTTGCTTTGTCTGGCGTTTTGTCTTCTCTTCATCTGCTGTGTCTTATTCACACTGGGGCCTTATACCACATTCACACACATAATTAATTTTCTTTGTGACTCATCTTGTAGTCTTATAGGCAAAGTTATGAATCTTTTCACAAAATTGCATCTCAGATACTCCCAGGTTTAGTCATAAATCGGATTATAGCAAAGGTAAGATATACCACAAAGCAATAGTAGAATATAATACAGCTGGCAGACAGCATGCAAAAGCACCACACTCATTTTTCTAGCATACTGGCTCTTTTTAATGATAATTTAGGGTGAAGGAAGGGAAACAATATTACCAATTTCCTGATTTTCCACTTTGGATCCACTTTGTGGATCCCTGTCAAATCCGACTTCAGCCTTTCTTGAGATGGGGAGTAGCTATCATTTTTACTTTTTGTTTACTGTTTGTGTAAAATCCTGATCTCATCCTTCTGCAGTTTATTATTGGCTGGGAATGTAGAGCTGGTCTGCAGTTCATATTGACCTGTGCATGACAATATTTTATTTTTTTTAAACCATGATTCCTCAGGGTTTCAGAATAAAGGAAAGAGAAGCTGCCAGTCAAGAGATCTATCATGACTACTAATCCATCTAAGAGAATTGCCTGGAGTGACTGTGAGTATTTCATCACTATTTTTGCATAGGTTCCATGTTTTCCTAGATAACTTCCATTTTCCTTTGGAGCACTGTTGTGTGCATGCTGGATGTGTACAAGCCATTTTGAAGCTGTGCCACTCTCACCTGGTCTGTGCCACTCACCTGGGGTGCTGAGCTGGCCTTTATGTATTTTTGGAGAAGAAAACTGGGAATGACTGTTCAAGTGACTATAAACAATGCCTGGCTGTATTCAAAGATCGAGCAGCTGCAAACCTTCATCTGCCTCTCTCTGGAGTTAACATCTGGCACTGCTGCTTCAACTCAGAGCAAAGGAGGGCTGGTAAAATGCCAATCTCTACAGGCATGCCAGCCCAGTGTCCTGTTTGTAGGACTGATGACTATGAAAGAACTCATGCCAGTCTACATGAGATACTGTATACTACACTGTATAGAAACCCTCTGTCACTGAAAGATGATTTCTGAAGATAAGTCTCATTTCCTTTTTGTAGTGTTAACTGCAGAACTGTCTATCTAATGAACCTTTGGAGTCAGGTTGGTTGTTATAATACTTAAATTTAGCAGGGAGTTCTGATCATATTCCATACTAGACTGAAGGTTATTTTGGAGGCATTTGAGACAGAAGTACCTTTCTTTGTATTTTGGGCCAGTTTGATACATGCAGTACATTTATGGGCAGTTTACAGTATATGGGCAATGGAAGACTGGAACACACCCGATGATGTTGGTACTGGGGAAAATGTACAGAAATTTCCAAAGTCCGCAGAAAGTAAACTTAGATACAGCAAGGGTATTTAATCAACTAGAGCCAGCTTAGCTCATGCAGAGTATTTTGGGAATGAACAGGAAATACCAAAGTCCTCCTAGAACCTCTGTGCTGAGAAACAGAGGCATTATTGTCATTGCTTCCATTTCTGCCTCAGGACTCTGGGGTCTGAGCTGTTGCTGCTGCCAAATGCAAGTAGAGCTAGCCTAGCAAAAAATACTGCCATGCTTAGGTGTGTTCCATGTCCTGTAGAACTTAAAAGGAACCTGGACCTTCATGTCCATGATTTCTTATGCATGCACATGATCCATCACAGTGCAGAGCAGAAACTGACAGAATCATCAGACTCATTTAAACTTGAGGCAAGTGATGTGACTGGAGGGAATTTCACCAACCTTGCAATAAAGTCAGATTCTTTTGGGGACAATGCTATTGCTTAGGGTAGGAGTTCAACATACAGTTTTTAGGAAATACTTGTTTATTGCATAATGCTTCTAATGTGTATGTGGTGTCAGCCTGACAATCTTTGAATGCCTATTACGTGTTCTGATTTCCAAGATTTAGGAGAGGTGTCTTAGGAGTTGGAAGAAGTGCCATTTGGCAAACTGGACTTATATTTCAGGGCTTGAATTTCAGCATACAAGAGAAATTTTCTTTAATAAATTTAAGGTGAATGTATATGGATGAACAAAAAGATGTAACAGCAAGTGGATGTGTAGGACTGAGAGCAGCTTTCCAGATTAAGGACATTATTCAGCGTAAAAAAAAGAAAACAAGAGTTGAGCTATACATAGATACAGGATCATGGAATACAGGTAAAGAAAGGAGGGAATGCAGGTAAAGAAAGGAGAAATTAATTTTGTTTGGTTTTGAAATTGTTTGGTTAAATTAGAAATGTAGTGTTCCCCTCCTTTCTCTTTGCAGCAGATGCCTTTGATTCAAAGCACAGACAAGATCCTGAAGATTCCCACAAGAGGAAATCAAAAGAAGAGAAAAGGAGACAGGTGGTCAGTCAGTGGAGAACAGATGTACAGTCGCTTGTTTCATCTTCTAAATGGCTTCAACGTTATGGTCTCAAAAGAAACAAATTGTCCCTCTCCCAGATTTTGTCCCAGATTGGATTCCAACACAGGAAAGGTATAAAGACAAATCAATAATAGGATAATAAACCCCCCAACTTTGAATAGTCTAGAGAGTCGCACTCATTCTGCACCCCAAGGTATACAGTGGAGATTTTCATATTGTCTCTTAGGATAATGGAAGAAATGGAAGCTGTATCCACAGTTGCTGACATTGCTAGTTCAGAGAACTGAGAAACTCCTCCTTTTGATATGAGAAGGACTTAGGGCCTGAGAATGGCTTTCCTTACTCAACTGTACTGTTTCTTTACCCTAGGTTGCAATATAGCTGTAGCTGGGAAATAGCTGGTGCTGCTGAGACTGTTAATCTTTTTCTTTCAAATAACACGTGATAAGATCTCTGTCTCCTTTCAGATGGCAAACATAATATATGCTGTGCCATAATCTGTGATCTACTATTGATCATCAGGGTTAGTAGATGTGCTTGGGAATAGGATATTATTTCTGGGTATCCAGCTTTAAGGAAAAAGTTAAATTTAATTAGAATTCAGTCTGCTTTTCATGCAAAGTCAGATGATAGAAAAATGTTCCTTTGCAGTTATCTGACAGCTGGAGGGGAAGAGTTTGCTAATAATTATTAACCACGGCCATAATGGTGCTCTGCAGAGCATGGTAATATATTCTTTTCTTTGAACAGCTTGCTGCCTGAGAAGTAGGAATTGTAATGTATTGCAATAGTTCTAGGTTGAATAATTTAAGGTTTTGGCTGGCTTATGTCCATGGGGCATTGAAAGATCACCAGTGCAATTCCTGATATGTTGTATGCTGCAGATGAAAAAGAAGCTGTTAAGGAGAGTTAAAGTTGTTACAGTGTTAGGAGCAGAATGTACTAGCTTGGCAGGGCAGCATGGTGTACAGATAGCTGCTTTATGACGTTAACTATTCCCACCCCTAATGTTTTCCTATCAGTGAAGATCCTGGAGAAGATTTCTAGCTACTGAAAGTGCAGAGTATGGCCTTTTCCTTAGATGCACTCACTTCTGCACCCATTGAGTTGTGTAAGAGAAAGCATTATCTGTACCAGATTTTGTATTTGGTTTGACAGACAAATATTTGCAAGTTCTGTTGAGAGGTTGCCCAAACCTCACAATAATTAAAGTCTCATGTAGCTTTTTGACCTATAAGTAATTAGATGTTGGTTTTTTCCTCACTTATGACTAAACTGGGAGGAAGCACCAAAAGCAGGGCTGCTCTGTGGTAGGAAATTGAACCAGAAGCCAAAAGGGACAGCAGCCCAGGCAATGCCCTCACTGAACAGGATACAGTCCTGCAGCAGGGTGAGGTAATTAACCATGCCTAGGGTCCATCCAGGGAATGCAGCCAAAGACAACAGGAGGTGCAGCCAGAGGTTGAGGGCCTCAGGGCCCCATCATAGATATAACCAGAAAATGAAACAACAACAGAATTTCTCTCAAGTTTCTTAATGTCAAGAGCTCAATACTGATGCGTGTACCTCACACTTGGATGACATACACATCAGCCTGAAAAATACCTGTTTGAAGTAGTCCCAAAGATTAGCAACTTGATCTTTTGTAAATTTTACTGTAGATTATGTGACCACCTTGGGGAAACCTGTGGCTTCTCGATATGCAGATGGTCTGTTTCCTCAATACAAGACAGCACAAGATGGCAGCGTGTATAATGTAAGTGTGGCTGTCGTGGTAACTTCCCTATGCACTTAGAAGTTAATGCCTTCCTAGGGCATAAAATACTTATATTCTTTGTGAGAAATTTATCTTTTGATAATTTTTCTTCTGTTTTGTCAAACTATTAGTGATAACTGTCGATGGTAGAAAAACTAGATATCTTTTTTTCCTTTTTAAGTCTTAGTCTCTTGCCTTGGTGCAGCATTGCAGTAAATCTTTTCCAGACGAGATTGCAGTTTCTAAGCAACATCTACCCTGTCTTGAAAGAGGGAACCCTTAAAGAGAAGATGCTCAGAACCAGTTAAAAAAAAAATAAAATTGTAATCAATAAAACAAATGGGGACGCTGAAATAAGAAGACATAATGTGCTGTCATTGCCAATGCAAAGCAGTGCTTTGCTTAGTGCCAGCAGGTCACAAAAGGCTCAGCCTATTCTACAGAGACAGCTAGCTGGATCTCTGCCCAGGCTCATGTTCTAAGGAATGTCTTAGCAACAGCTGCTGGCAGCCCCATTGTTAAGAGGATGTATTCTGATTGAAGAGATGTGCATGTGAGTGTGGAAGGGAGAGAGTTAATTTATAAAGGATTTTACAAAAGGAAAATGGCTTGTAATTTTTTCTGATGACTAGAGTCACATCTGATGGCAGAAAGCTTAAAAATGAGTAAAGAACCATTTCAGGAAGCCTTTCCCCCTCATTTTATTCCCATTATTCAATGTGAAATACTTACAAAATGTCTTTTAATCTTAGAACGTTGTGAGCAGCAGGAAAGGCATTTTTGCTACTATATAAAATCTGGTCAGATCTCCTTTAGGATATTGAGTACAATATTGGATACAGTTACTACGGGCTTAGAAGAAGCCATTCAAACCAGAGCAGGTACTGAGAAGAGCTGGTAGGATGAACTGCAGTGCTGTGATCATATTATAAGAAGGCTTGGTTGATGTTGAAATGTAAGCCTGAAAGAAGACAGAAGAAGGGTAGTATTACAGCCCTTGAATGCTCCAGAAAGGCAAATTGCAGGGATAGGGAGAAGCTGTAGTTTTCTCTGCTAAAAGGCATGCTAGTCCAAAAATAAACAGGTATGAACTGAATGAATAAAATTAGGCTGGACAGTCAGAAGTTTCCTGGCCCTCAGAGAAATGGAAATCTGCACTTGCTTACTACACGTGAGGGAGTATTCTAAGAAAACTGCTTTATTTTAAGATGAGGTTTGGTTGGTGTAGTGCAGTAAACTTCTTTGTATGAATCTGACTGTCATAGCCCAGGAAACTGGATTTCTGAGTGCTCCTTCCCAGGCCGACATTCCTTTGGCAGACTGCCTGAGACTCTGTATGTGGGAGGCACATTACAGGGCCTGAACTGATATTAAAGAACACAGAAAAATACAAATGAGAGGGAGAAGTGTGCAGACTGACACACAAGATATCTCCTCCCTGAGAAATAATCCTTAAAAACATTTTTATTTCCAAGGTTTTGTACTTAGTACTGGAAGGAAAGTTAGAAGTAGAAGGCAACCAGTAAATCAGCTCACATGGGCCAGAGATACTGGGGGAATCTGTGGTGCATTTTTAGACCCACAGGTCATGGTTAATGTGTTTTTCTTAAACTTATTCGTAGGGAGGATGTGCAGGTTTTAATTTTAATACTGGATCTAAATATTACTTTACTGGAAAGATATGGGAAGTTTAGATGTTGACTGCACTTATCTGAACTAAATTTGCTTAAGCACATACCCACAAATAGTTAATCTGTAATGCTGGGCATTGTTAGTGAAATAACAGTACAAACGAGAAACATTTTACGTTTTCCTTTCAAATGCTAAAGACAAGGTGGAGATTGAAGTGCCCTAGAACCAAACCGTGTGCTGCCTTGTATTGCTGTAAAAATTTTTCTAAAAGCCAGTCAAAGTTCTAGTCTGAGGAGGTACAAAGTTTCTGTGTCCTTGTTTGTTCACCCATCTGCTCTGCAGCCCTTTCTACATCCTAGCCTGTGTTCAGCTCATTCTAATTGCTCCAGTTTTGAGACAGACAAGTCAGACAACCCACTGGCACTGTCCCATGCTCACATAAAAAGTTTATGGAAAGCAATTAGGACAAAATGCAGTGCCTCTTCTTTATAGCTTAGATGCATTTGTCAAGTATTTGCTCTTGAAACAGTGGAGGGAAAATGGGTTGTTTCCACTGCTACCTTAGCTGGCATATCTGACACTTATAAACTAGCTATGCAGCTGTGCTAAGCTTGGGGCTGCATTTGTATTATTTGTTTTGATGTTCAATTTCCTTCTCTCTCTTATTTGAATAAAGCTGACAGCCAAAAAAGAACTAATTCTTCATTTTGTGGATTGCCTAATTGGAGCCATTGAGCTATATAAGCAGCGAATGGAATGGTTAACCAGTGAGAGCCGGCAGATATTTGGAGTGATTCAAGAACAGTGCATTGTCATTGTGTTGGATTTTGGCACTGCAGCTCCAAATGAATTTGATCTATGTCGGGATGCACTTTCTATGGTACTTGTGGAACAGGTGATACAAATTTCCAGATTCAATCTCATTCGGTAAGCAGAAAGAATCAGAATCATAAAAGGGTTTGGGTTGGAAGGCACTTGTAAAGGTGATCTGGTCCATAACTCCTGCAAATGGCCAGGGACACCTTCCAGTAGACCAAGTTGCTCAAAGCCACATCCTGTCTAACCTTGAATGTTTCCAAGGATGAGACATCTCCCACCTCTCTGGGCAACCTGGTCATTTGTTTAAGCACCCTCATTGTAAAAATATTCTTTCTTTTGTCTAGTCTGAATAAAGGTTGTTTTAGTTTAAAACCATCACCCATTGTCATATTGCTACAGGCCCTATTAAAAAGACTTTCCCCATTTTTCTTCTAAGTCTCTTTGTACTGAAAGGCCACAATTAGACCTCTCCAGGCTGGTCAAAGAAGTCCATGTCGGCACATTGCTGGAGAATAAAAGGGCTTTGCATGTTATATGTGTTTGGATAAGGCATTTTCTGTACTGAAAATAGTCGTGAATGATATCATGCTAATACCTGTAGATGTCCCACCAATTTTCACCTATAGTCATGCTGAACTTGCCACTTCTGTTTAACAGAAGGCCACTGTTACCCTGATGAACAAATAAAGGGTAACAGAACCCAAATACCAATCACGTCTTCTACAAAATCAGAAGAATTTGCAACAGCAGTAATGCCCTTCAGATGTTGCAATATTAGTGAAACAGTGAGGTTCTATCTGACCACTTATTGCAATCTAGTGCTTTTAGACATTACAGGTTTCTTCCTTGCAGTTAAATGTGCACTCCCCCAAGTGCCATAGGCACAGGCATAACCATTTGTATTTCTATAGATTTCCATGGTCACAGAAATCAGCAGCACTAGGAAACAATAGTAGATTTCCATAACAAAAGAAGATTTCCAAGCACTTGTTTAATTTGCATTTAGTTAGAAGAATAGAAGCAGCTATTCAAATTTTACCTATCTGCAAAATTCATACATGCATGAGAATTTGAATGCATAAGCTTGGGTTTAGATAGATGAGTGGAAAAAACCTGTACAAATTAGGTAATATAATTTTAAAACTGGTTCCACAATGTTAACTTGCAATTACATGGTGATTCTTAATGTTGTTTTACCCAGGTGTTGTCTTCCAGATTCGATTCAGGTACCCTATCTTAATTTTCTAGATTGTGATACTACTGAGATTTGGAAAGGAGAGTAATAAAATCACAGAATGGTTTGGGTTGGAAGGGACATTATAGACCATCTAGTTCAAAGCCCCCTGCCATTGGTAGGAACATTTTCCACTAGACCAGGTTGCTCAAAGCCCCATCCAGCCCGGCCTTGAACACTTCCAAGGATGGGGAATCCACAGCTTCTCAGGGCAACATGTTGCAAAAGTAGATACTTTCCAAAGAAGATATTTTCCAAAGCAGGTAATTTAGAGAACTTTTTCTTTAAAAATGAACTGCAAAGCCAAATCAAAATTGAAACAATAATTATGTTCATCAATTTGTTTGTTTTTGCAGGAGGGAAACACAAGACAATATAACATATAAATTACTACTTTAAAAGAACCTTGGGAAATACATTTGTGTTTTAGATTTGCAGGAAGGTCTTCAAAATAGTTCTTGATGGAATCTCACAGATACTGGAACCAGTTGGTTTTATAGTTCCTTTCTGCCTTTTTATGTACAAGTACACAGGCAAAAGTGCTCATTGGCTTTGTACTTCTTCCATTAGGACTACAGTCTTTTGTCAATTAAAATACCAAAAAGTTTAGCATCACGAATTTTATTTTTGATGGCTAGCTAAAGAATAGCTGTACTACCAAAAAATAGTGTCAGTTAAGCTGCTCTGACACGAAGGTTGTAGAGCAAGTTGTGGAATGAGACCTGCGGAAGACACTTTTCTTTTTCGTGCACACATTTTAAAAACCTGATTGAGTTTTTATGATAAGGAGGGTTATGAATCAGGAACTCTTTTTAAAAATGCTTTATCTCTCCTGATCCTACTTTGGAAACAGTTGTCTCAAAAAAAACCCCTTAAAAAATTGCAGTAGTTTTTCTAATGGCTTCATTCTTTTTCTACTTCCTTTATTGCAAGTCTAGATTTAGTATCTGTGGTATATTGTAATTCTTATTTAAGAGTATAAAAGAACAAGAGAGCTCCACTCTCTTGTTCTGCCAGCATGATTCTCACTGCTTCTGATTTATAGTTAATCTCATTTTCAGGGCTGCTCCAGATCTTATGAAGTGGCAAGAGAAATGCACTTCTGTGTCTGAGCATACTGTAAAGTCTGCAGTTACATGGCTCTGGAAGCTGGACCATATGACAGCTGTCAGCCATACCAGCTCTGCTGAAGCTCTGCTGGAAGCCATGGGTGATGGAGCGGTAAGCTCATACATCTTTTCAGAAGCCCAAGTAAATCCAAGAGTATTCAGTGCTAGGCTGGCTGCTGTGATTTGCCCTGATCAATGTTGCAAAGATAAATATTAATGACATCATTTGGAAAGGATTTTTTTCCCCTCAACTGTAGCTGCATACTATGCTGAATTATTGTCCTTTTATGTAAATGTACTGTATTTTGAATGCAGAAACTTGTTTATTTTCTTTCCTAGATTACCCAGAATAAATAACAGTCATTAAGGGAAAGAGAAAACGTCTTCCCTTCCCCTTTCTTTGCCATATAAGTTTTTCAGAGCTTCAAGTTTTTAGAAAATTTATAGTATTAACATTATTGAAGGCAGGGAAACCATTTTTATTTTGTTATGTATCCAGCTTGCTCATGAAAAGTTGTATTTAAAATTCAAAATAGTGAGTACAGAGATTTATGGAAGTATTAGCTTATGATAGGGCTACACAAATCTTTTTTTATCAGACAGGTGATAGCTAGACTTTATTCCAGGACAGAGACAAAGCATGTACAGTTATTCCTGCAAATAAATGCTGTTCATTTCTAAAAGTACCCTATTACTTTGTTCATTAAAGTACACTCACAAGAAATGAAGCATAGATATCATCATTTGAGCAGGCACTTAAAACTTGTGTTATTAAAGAGATATTTTATGACATTTCCTTACAATGTGTATTCTCTCAGTCCTCTAACACCTGAACTTATTGAAAATTTGGCCGACTGTCTGTGGAGTAGAGCCATTGATTTTCACTGCTATTAACATCCATCCCTGTGCACAGAAACAGTCCTAACTCCTTTGTAAATCTCTTTCTGAGATGCTGTTTGAAGGAGAAGGTAAATTTTGCTTGAGTTACCTTCTAGTTCCCTACCTGCTGGATCCTCATCTAGATGAGCCTTGATGTTTGGAAACTAATATTAAAAAGGAACTGAGTAAGGAACAAATTATTCACCAGTGAGATTTTTAAAATTAATCCTTTTTTAAATTCTCCCTCTATAAATTTTATTCGTATTTTCAATTTGCAGTATAATACTGATTTCCTGATGAGTAACTAAAAAATTGTACTTAGATTTCAGCATTGTCTGGATGAAGAAAGTATTTTTGGACCTGGTGGGTCTTTGAATAAACAGAAATTAACATCTGTCAGGCAACTATTATTATTTTTCCAGATATTGGTGGGCCAATAGGCAGGGGAGTCAGTTGTGGCAGGTACTCAACATAAAACAAACTTCAGTTGCTCCTAAACAGAGTAATTATCATTCGTAACTGACAGTTCACTGTAGTGCAATGTTCACTGTAGTGCAGAAGGGGGATACCCCATTCAGTCCTAGGCAAAACTTATCTACTTACTGAGCAGTCATGAATAACTCATTCCTAAGAACTGGCTTTGTCCACAGAAGTTGCTCCAAAACAGTTCTTTTTTCCTGCCCTTGACATGGCTCTTCTTGTCATTCCTTCAGCTGGTCTTTTCTTCCCATATGTGGTGATTCCTCAGACTTCCTTTCCTTATGACCTATAAATGCCAAGCTCAAGTTCAGTCTGCTGTAATGTTGCAGTCCTTTGAGCTCTGCCTACCACAAATGCATCCACAGTGTCTAGCCTTCAGTTCTGTACAGGTGCCACTCCATGAAGTGTGGATCACTCATCTAAAACACCTTCCCACCATGATCAAGACTGTGAGGAACTGTTCATGTTGTTGTTCTTTCTGTTCTTATATGAAGTTTGTTTGCTTGTTTAAACGTATAAATTAAAATTTTTAAAATATGAAGGACTCACTAGAAGGGTTTTAACCTTTCCCCATTAGCATATGAAGAACATTTCCTTTGTGGTATGTCATTGCTAGGTTTGTAGTTAAGTAGAGTGAATTATCTGTGGTTCATAATTTTTTAAAATTTTCTTGTGAGGGGTTTGTTCTGTATCAGCTGTGCCCAATAAATGTCAGTATTTTAAAAGCTGCAGAGGCAGGCAATAAATCCCTTGAAGAAAGTGTGAGAATTTCTAATCTTGCTGAATTTCAAGTTTATGAATTAATGGCAGTCTTAGAGGGAAGGGGGAGAAGATGTGGATCTGAAGGAACACAGGGAAAAATGTTTGTGCAATATGCATGAATTCCTCTGGGCCAGGAGACTCTTCAACAAAAGCAGTAGGAGCGTGGTGTTGTCCAAGGACTGCGTCTCACCTGGGAGATCTGTCTGCAGGCTCAGATAGCTTTTTAGCTGGAGGAGGCAAACAGGGAACTTTGTAAAATTGAACTGAAACACAGATAGGTTCAAGAGTTCATTCTTTTCGTTTCTGTGTACCTTTTCCTAAAACTAGTATTTTGTTAATCTTGCACTTTAATAAAACACATTCAATTTTCTCTTTAGCTTTAGTATTTGTTTAGAATTATCAGTGATGCTAGGGTATCTGGTTCTGCTTTCTCCCAAATAAGTGGAGTCTGTAACTATGGTCCCTGCCTTCCACACAGAGCATCTTGCTCTTCTGCAAGATCCAAGAGAAGTTCAAGATGGCAAGGTGCTGCTTTGTTAGCTTGCCTGATCCAGCCCGAAATTGGGTTGCTGCTTGGGAGAGACATCTCCCTGTGTTGAGAAAGGTGCCAAAAGATACATGAGGGAGGAAGCTTGAAATGCAGAAATTATTCAGGGAGCTGGAATACAAATCAGTACCCAAGACAGTAGTGGAAATGTATGAGCACACTTGTAGATGATGCTGAATTTGCTTTACTACTGCATGAAATTACGTGAGTGCGGAGACATTTCCTCAGTGCCATCCCAGACTCAAATAATTGTCTTTTGTGGTGCACATCTTGGGATTCCTAGTCATATTCAAAGAATCACAGAATGGTTTGGTTTGGAAAGGACCTTAAAGACCGTTTCATTCCAACATCCCTGCCATGGGCATGGGCACCTTTCACTAGACCAGGTAGCTCAAAGCCCCATTTAACTCGGCCTTGAACACTTGTGGATGAACAGGATGGAGCGTTCCTAACTTTTCTGGACAATTGTTCCTGGTGCCTCACACCCTCATAGCAAAGAATTTCTTCCTTACATCTATTCTAAATCTACCTTCCTTCAGTTTAAGGCCATTCTCCCTTGTCATTGTGAAAAGTCCCTCTCGAGTTTTCATGCAGGCCCCTTTAGGTCCTGGAAGGTGCTATAAGGTCACCCCAGAGCCTTCTCTCCTCTGCATAATTTCCAGGATGATTCGCCCCATACTGGGCACAGAGGTGAGTTTATTCAAATTTATTTTTTCAGTTAAACAATGATATATCAGGTATTGTTATGTACCAGGATATAGGATTGATGTACTGCACATATTGTGTTGAAAGTCATCATGAGATAGTTGTTTATTACATTTGTTTTTAATGATAGTGAAAATTCAAGAAACATACTTACCATGAGGATCGTTACATGGATAAGTGCAGATAACATAAAATCCTTCATAATGTAATATTTAAGCAATAACTAAAGAACATTTTTTCAACTTCTCTCTCTTCCTGTAATAACATTTTCAGGATATAAATGTGTGTGGTTATAGTAAACCTGCCAAGCTCTCTCTGCCTTGGGAACTATAAAAAATACAAATCGTCTGCAAATACCAGCAATAGCATTCAAAAAAAAATCACAGAATCACAGAATATGCTTGGTTGGAAAGGACCCACAGGATCATTGAACCCAACTCTTGGCCCTGCACAGGACCATCCCAAGGCATCCCACCGTGTGCCTGAAAGTGTTGTCCAAATGCTTCCTGAGCTCCATCAGTCTTGGTGCTATGACCACTTCCCTGGGGAGCTGTTCCAGTGCCCAACCACATTCTGTGTAAAACATTTTTCTAATATCCAGCCTAAACCATCCCTCACACAGCTTCATGCCACTCCCACACTGGTCAGCACAGAGATCAGTGCCTACTCCTCCTCTTCCCCTCATGAGGAAGTTGTATACTGCCATGCAGTCTCCCCTTAGTTTCCTCTTCTCCAGGCTGAATAGACCAAGTGACCTCAGACACTCCTCATACAGCTTCCCCTCAAGGTCCATCTTTATTGCTGTCTCTTGGATGCTCTCCAGTAATTTAGTGTCTTTTTTATATTGCAGTGACCAAAACTGCACACACTATTCAAGGTGAGGTTGCACTAATGCAGAGAGAATGGGAAAATCACCTCCCTTGACTGCCACATTTCCTAACCTCAGAATACATGCTGTTAATAAAACTATGTCTTGTATAAAAATTCCTACTTTTCAGCTCTGGCAAGGCACCAACATAGCATGTCTCTTGATAAAAGTGGCATATGCCACAGAGCCTTTTTCTGACTAATGATGCAGTTGTCCTTCCTTACAGCTCTCTTTGGCTTCAGTTAACTTCTGTGGAAAGAGGCTTGCATTGGGCAGAATCACACCCAGGAACTGTGGGATAAGTTCTTGCCTCACTTGAGGAAATTCTGTGTATCCTTCCTTTGAATTACTAGCATAAATGAGAGGAAGAAGCAAAGGTCTGAAAATCTTATAGCTCAAGTAATGCATCAGTTTTACCAAATTTTCCTACCAATACTGAGCATAGGACAGTGCTTGACTAAGTATCAGACATTTATGTAAAACAATGTCTTCCAATTACCTTTTTTTTTTCTTTTCTATTTTATGACAGGTTGAAGCTATTTATTACTTTGTTGTGGGTGATATTCCAGCGGACACAAAGCAGTTACTCCTTGAGAAGGTTTCAGATGTCTCCTGTCCAGTCAACATGGTGTCTTTCAATGCTAGGGAAGATGCAACTATTATTTTTCTGAAGGAGTTGAGCCACTTGGCCTCTGGCAGGTATGAAAAAGAAGGACAGTAAAGATTTCAGTACTTATGAAATTCTTTGCTGATAGAAATGGTATTGGGACATACCTGAATTTTCCATGAGGAAAATAAGACAAAGCAGTTCAGTAAGTGATCTGGGGATGGGGAAATATTCTAAAGAGATATGACTAGAATGCAGGCCCTACTTAAACAGTCCAGCCTTTTTCTGCATATATTCTCACTGGCCTGCAGAAAGGCTATTCCCTTTTTATGTCCAAAATCATCTGCCATGTACCTCTCTCTTGAAGTCTGGAAAACTGTTGGGAGGAAATGGTTACAACATAAACTGAAATAGGTTTTCATTATGTTGCTTTGTACATTAGTAGTACCCACAAGCACCAGAAAAAGATCTAGAGTTTTGTTGGGTCAAGTGCCACAGAGACATGTACTGAAAAGGAAATGCTAATCCTAAATGAGCAGCTCATGGAATAACAGAAAATTGATAGGATGTTATTCTTCAGGCCTGGCTGTGTGGAAAAGCAGTTCTGTAACATACTCTCTAGCATCCTTTTGTTATGGTTGGTGGAAATTAATATATTCCACATGCCTTGTTGAATGCTTTATCCTGGGAATCAGCCATGTGGTGAGAATCAGCCTTCAGTAGAAATGGGTAAGATGACTTAAATCTTGATTCTGTTATTGAAATAAAGAAAATAAATGAACAAATACAAAACACATACGATCAAACTCATGCTCCACAGCAGGAAGGTAGTAGGAGTCAGTAGGTGTTTTCTGCTTAACAGAAGTCACCATACATTTACAGACTTGTGAAATGGCTGCTAGCTTTTTCTGTTTCACTGTTGTTTGTGCAAGAGTGGGAAGCCCTCCAACAGTAGAAATCTCCCAAATGACAGCAGAGCAATTGGTAAGATGGCAGCTGCTTAGCTCTTTTATAGCCATCTGTGTTTAGAAATAGCTTTTAGGAGATGGGAGAGTCTGCCAAAAACAAGACTGTGGGAAAGTGTCATGTTTGCTCTGGTCTGATGTGCGTTTAAAATGATTGTGGTCATTTTGAAGCATGGTACCTCTGTGGTACCAGGTACATTGTCAATAACTATCCCTCATTTTCTTTTGGCAGCTTTTATACCTTCTTTATCAAAGGAAAGGGAATGTATCTTGTATAGTAGAGACAGAGGCAAAAAAGGTTGTGGCAGGGAGCTGAGAGGAATTGTTTTGTTTGATTCTCACTGTCACCTTTTTGCATGAGTCTAGCTTTTGTGCAGAGACTTACAGGGCCAGTTAATAACTTGCTGGTGGATATTTGCCCAGTAACTGTATATAAGTTTAAGTCAGCTTTCTCACAGGAATGGCCAAGTTTGTGGGCTTTTCATGCATCGACCCTGTTTCTAGTGTAGTTCTGTTACAGAAATGCATCTTTTTCCTGCTCTGAGACCTTCTCTGTTTTGACAATGAGGATAAATGAAGGCTGGTTGTCATCCTGATTTGTATGTCCATAATGAAATAAATGTTCCTGTTAGGCTTTCAACTAGGAGGATAATCTGATAAAAGGTGTTAGTGTCATCTCAGACATCTCAAATTACATGCCTGCTCAGCCTCTTAAAAGCGTTAATTAAAAATAGATTTCCAGGAAATTGAAGAGTAAGGTGCCTTGCAGTAAGTAATATCAAAAAGAAAGAAAATTCTACATGAGAAGACTTCAGAAAGTACATAAATGTATGTATAAAGTTAATTAATAACCTGACTGTAGTTGAAACTTTAGATATAATTCTGTAGTTATATGTGTGAAAAAACATCCCTTTAAAATTAGAGAAGTATTTATGTATTTTTTATACTGGTGGAAACTCATTTTGTCTTACAGATTCCATGCTTTTGCTGAGAAGAATGACTGTAGAGATGCTACTGGATCTGCACTAAAATATGAAGAGGATGGAAAAAGATTAATTGCCCTGAACTCTGGAAAAGTGAAAGGGAGAATGCCACTAGGTAGACAATATAAACCCGAAGATTATACTGATACAGCAAGATGTCAGAACAGAAATGTAGTTTAGGAACTTGATGAGTGTAAAATCAAAAGAAGCTTATAGGTGTGGGTGGGGTGAGGACAGGACTGGTCTGGAAATGGAAATTCTCTGGGTGGGAAGGAGAGGGCAAGGAAAAGAGAAAAATGAAGAGAGTAGAAGATCTGCATGTAGGAATGAAAGAAAAGTGAAAAAGCAGGAGAAGAAGATAATTTATTTAGGAACATGAAGAACAGTAGTTGTGTGCTTATGCCAGTGACCTTGTGGAAATGTATGGAGAAATGATAAAAAGGAAGAGGAGGAATAGTGTGGCAGACCATATGATAAAACAGCCAACATAAATATAGGTCAAGTTCATAGGTAATATAAGGGGATTAAATCAACATGAGGTTTACTTGCTTGTCCCAAGAATTTGTCACAAAGACAGGCAAAAAGCACAGTAAAGTGACAGTAGAGAAGGCAGTGCAAAGTGGTGGTGGGAGGATTGATAGAAAAAATACCAGGAGGAAATAACCAAAATAAACAGTTTCACTGGTGGGTGGAGCTGGGCAGAAAGCTCAGTGTGTTTCGTATTAGTCACAGTGCTACTTCCTCTGGGTATGTGTTCAGTGGGATTGGACTGTGCTTTCAGCCAGGGTGAGAGGAGAGGGGCTTGTGATGTGGAACGAGGCTTTGTGTATCAAATTTGATATCTTTCTCAGCAGGAGAGTAAAAAACCAAAAAAATTATTTTAGACATCAGGAATCATAAGATATCTTTAGTCTCGTGGCTCAACACACCTACCTACACACTCTCCCTTTGTGCTGGGGCCATTAGTGTTGCCCCAAAGGTAGAACAGTGTTATCAGCTTCTCACTGTTAGGGAATGTATGGCATAAGGTGGATTTGGTGTCTCATGTAAGGCTGTTTGTCAGTCTTGGACTGACTGGCCCATATTTGGGTTGTAATGAAGTTTCTTGCATACTAACCTATCCTTCACTAGGGCCATGATTATAACAGCACAAGAGAAAGAACCATTGTGAGGGCCCAGAAATAAAGGAGTGAGGTATCACCTGCTTTTTTGAGTTGTTAAAGGACACTCAAGCTGCGCCCATACAGAGTTTAGAAACTAGTAGAGTCTGCTTCAAAACACTATCGTTTCATACTAATGCAGAGCAGTATAATGATTGCCTTCAGTCTGCTGCGAGTGCTTTCTTGCTGTACTGCATTTGGGGGTGTGCATGGGGGAAGCTGCCTCCCTCTTCCCCTGGGGCAGTCAGCCTGTTTCAATAGATGAGCCTAGAGCTTCTATATGACTGAAATTACTTCCTCACCACTGTTTCTAAAGCTGAAAGCTGAATAGCTTTAATCGCTCAAAAGGGCAGTAATCCCCTTGAAGTGCATTGTCTGTTGCTATTATGGAGTAGAATTTACACATTAAAAAGGAACACAATTAGCTTTTTGCATTTACTGGGTATTACAAGCACAGTCGTGAAATCACTGACAGCCAATTGGAGTGTTTCAGTCATATGCAGAATCTTAAGTCGTTTCAGAAAACAAAACACACTGAAGATATTATTCTGGTCTGTGTCTGATTTCTCTTGTTTCAGGGACTCCTTCAAGGGTGTAGTAATAAGGCAATAAAAATAAAAGTGTTGATTACTCACTAATGGGTTCTGAAACTGGTTCTTGGAATTGTGGCATAAACTACACAAGGAAATAGAGAATGAACCAGAGATTTAATCCTCCAAATATGGTGTTTCTAAAAACTAAAGGGAGGAACAGGAATATTTTGGTTATGTTCCTTTTTGCACCACAAATGCAACAGCTGGGAGCTGAAACTCATAACCATGTTACATGGACTGGAAAAGCTGTTTTAACAACATCTGATAGTTTCTGGGAATCCACTGAATATCAGTATTTTGCAAATACCGGATATATTTTATGTTAATTCCTTTTCATCTGCTTAACCAAAAAAAGTCAGAAGTGAACTATTTAAAATTTTAGATAAGAGCTCAATTCTCCCCTATTTTGCATCTTGAGCAGACATTTAGAAAGCAAGTGTTGGAAATGGACAATTTTGAATTTTTTACACTCATTTTCAGTATGTGCTCAAGATCAAAACAGGTGTACCTCATTAACAAATTAGGGTCCTTATGCTGGCAGCCTCAGATTTACTTATGTCAGAGAAATGCTTTTGCATGAAGCTTAGTTTTACCAATGTGATAATATCTCCTCATCCAGCACTAATTTTCCTGTTATCACTTCTGCCTACATTCTTTGTGCAGTTTATTCATCTGCAAAAAGCTGTAGAATTAAGCAATCTTGTTATGTAGTTAAAATTATAAGTGAAAAGGAGGTGATGTTTAAGTTGGAACTTGAAGACATAAAGGGCAAGGAATGACAGAAGCTGTGGAGGGATATCTTTCTGAAGGTCACATTTGTGTCATCTGCTTGGAGTAACAGGTTGATAAGTGCCACATAGGGCTTGAAAAGCGATGGTGCTCTGAACTAGATCCTGAAATTAATGCAGGGCCCTTGGTGGCTTACATAGAAGCAATATATTTCTGTGTACTGGTTTCTGTGTGGTGGAATAGATGAGCTGGCATGCGTAGAGAAAATGCAAATGGACTGAAACCAGGATTTTACTGATGTGATAAATCCAAACAGGGACGTGTCTGACCTTGTGAGCAGTATAAGTCTCTGTTCGTAGGTGTGCTTGATTTTTCACATGTAGGGAAATTTGATAGGGAATATTTCAGGTTGTGTAAAAAAAGGGCAGTGTAAGAGTGTTATTCTCCTGTATGACATAGAAGTCAATGAACTATTCACTGTTTATGTACACTGACATGGGAAAGATTGAACCCTCCCTTTGGAGAGCCAGGATAATGACTGAGGAGTAGCTGCTTTGCCTAGAAGCTGTAGCAAAGATCATTGCCTCTGCTGGTTTTTTGCGTGTGCTTCTGTCTAGTCTCAGCAGCCTAACCTTGGCCTGGCAAATCTCTTTGCTAATGTGTAGAGTGTGATGCAGATAGCTGTTCTGTGATACCACATGGGATACAAAGTTCATTTGCTTTGTCCATTTGCCCAGTGGAAAAGGGGCAGGATTGGGCTGCAGTGAGTTTCAGTGCTGTTTGACCTGGCAGGTATGCAGGTAAAAGCTGTGGACTACCCTCATGCTTCTTTGTGCCTTCATTCATCCCCCTCTAAGTGGAGATTTTAAAAATCAAGGCTTAAGGGTATATTGCTGTGTTCTGCTGCCACATGGAGGCTGAGAAAGGGACTGGCAGTGAAGAAAATCGATTTTCCCATCCTCCCTTGCCAGCAAATTCATTTTCAAATAGATTGTATTTCCTTATATTTGGATTTGCTTGTTTCTACAGCTTAAGTCAGATAATCAGACAAGTAAGAAATGCTTCTGTTTTCCGTGATTTGCTTTTGTATTGTTATTTGCTTTCTGTTTCAAAGATATTGTAGATATTTTGTAGGCTTTTTTTTATACAGGATTTTTTCATTAGCAATATGGAAATCAAATAGTTTACAGTGACTTGTCAAACCGGATGAGTTTGTTTGTAGGGAGGTACATGTGGAAAAGCTGCTCTTGAGATTATCTGCCAGTTAAATAACTGGGAAATGGAAATGAGGGCAGGTATGAGTTTCCGTGTACATGTGCAAGTGTGGTTGTGTTTTTGCTTAGGTCTGCCTTCTTCTCCGTTTGCGGGTGTCAGCAAAATGCTTCTGCCCCCTGCCTCAGGCTCTCCCTGCAACCTTCCTCATCCTCTTCCTCTCTTCTAGGGCCTCCCTTCTACAGAGCAGAAACGCCTTTACCTGCAGTCAGGGCACTCCCGGAACATTTTGCAGGGTGAGGTGCTCTGCAGGGTCAGGATGGTGATGGGGAGAGCAAGGGAAGCTGACTGTGCTTGACACAGGCTGGACACGTGCAGCAGGGTTTTTAGACTGGTCCCTTCATGTATGACTGGTGGCCACTCTTCTGCCATTGCAGTGGGGTGGGTTTTGAATCGGAACCAGGGGCTCCCCAGGGATCTGGTTGTTGCACTGACACCCAGAGTGGCTGGGAAGGTGATTCATGGTGGCGGGGAACCAGGACAGCCCTTTTTCTCCCTGGATAAAGTAATTTTTTAAGACAAGATTATTCCTGGCACATGGGTGCCTGAATGTATACAAGAGGTAGTGGCTTGGAGTGGTTGTAAACTGCACCCATCAGATGGGTGACTTTCTCTGGTTGGTGGTCCCCAAAAAATGGCACATCTGAGGTGTGAACAGAGGGAATTTAAACAAAGTGAGGTTCATGCTTTCTTGGTCATTTACCAGAGATATGCTTTGAGAGATGGGCCACAGCTGAGACCCACATCCAGAAGATACTATGCCTTGCATGTGTATGTAGGTTTTGATTTTAGGGGTTCAATTTTCAAAGAACAGGGGTTTTTTGCCACTCCTCCTTAGCTGTGGAGGAAAAGAGGCCAAGGTAGAGGTGCAGATGAGCTTCCCGTATAGAGAGAGAAAGCTGCTGTGGATGTCACTGCTTCCAAGCTTCTCTCCAAGTTGAATCCAGGAAAATGTTGGGAAAAAGGTTTTAAGCAACTGTAATTTCACAATGTGCAGTTCTTGGTTCCTGCATTTGTCCTGGGTATCAAGTGACATCAAGCACATTTGCTTTGAAAGGGCATGCAGTTTTACTTGGCAGTGCTACAAGCATAAATGAAGAAAAAATACCTTCTCATGTAGTACCAATTCAATCCATCTATCTTAATGGGGACAGTAACAATAATCCTATAAAGCTGATGAGTCCATAGCATCAATTTAAAGGGAAATGAAGCAACACAATGATATAATGGTTATTGTTTTAGCAGTAGCTGAAGTGTGCATATTTCTTTCAATATTTTCAAACATTACATTAAAAATATTAATAAAATTAAATTTGGATGACAGTAATTGACAGCTTGTGGAAGATATCCAGATTTAGTTGGAGACAGCACCATTGGAATTGCATTCTTAACAGCCTTAAACTTAGAACCACATTCACGTGTGGTGTGAAGGCATGTGTTTGCATTTCTGGGTTGAGATTGCTTATAGAATAAAAGTTGAATTCTTTCCAAAGTATTTGGAGAATACTTTTCTTAAGTTTAACAGGTTTTTCTCTCCCTTTTGTGTTTCATGTTGTGGAATGATCTGCCTTACTAATGCTTTTTGTGATTTAGGAAATGTTGATCTTTGTTCTAATGGATGCAATGGATGTTTTGAAATGCAGGAAGGTCCCAGGAGATGGCAGTGTACAATAACACAATTCAAAATATTTCTTAGAAACTGAAAGCATTTCATAATTAAATTTGAGTTCTTATTTGCATAACATTATTATTATTATTATTATTATTATTATTATTATTATTATTATTATTTGTAGTAGTAGTAGTAGTATTTCCAGAAAGTTTATCAAATAACAAAAGAATCAGGTTTGTTTGTGTACTGGTAGCCTACTTTAGCAGACAAGGTTGCATATCTTATCTTTTAAATGGTGAACCATCACTGTGTAGTAGCTGAACCAGTGGATGGATAAGATACAGTTTGCCTCGTTCAACATTTTTATGTGCAAGTCATTAATAGGTTGTGATCTGCAATAGTTTGTAACCTGTATTTTTGCTTAGGATAGCTGATGATTCAGTTTTATATTTTTACTGTAACACTGTGCACAGTTTCTCTTCATTGTCCTATACTGTAATTAAAACTCTGAGAGTAACCTAATTTAACGTATTTTTAATACTGATCCTACTGCTTAGGTATACAAGGTATCTCAATTTTAGTAGTTTCTTTTATGAAATAAATAAATATTTTTATTATTTTCATCAAGAAAAATATATCTGTTGAAATCAGGAAAACCTTGTCTCAATTCCAGCTTTGGATTTTTCCATTTTTTTTTGAAAATATAGCCTGGTAGTAAAATTTTTTGTGGCATTTATTTATAACTGTTGAGAATTGTTGGGATGAAAATAAATTTATCTTTAGCAAGTTTCATCAGATAGTCATCAGGGAAAGAAGATTTAAATAAAATTTATTATGTACTTTAGGAAATGGAAAGAGTTAAAAATGTCTTCTCTTTAAAATGTCAAAACTGGGTTTAATATTTGAAGCCAAATTTTGCAATGAAGTCCAGGGGGCAGCAAGTGAATTTCATTGTGGAGTTTCCTTATTATTTTCCAAGAGTGTTAAAATGTATTTGCTTCCTCTCTGGGAACAATTTGTGGCCAACTTTGGAGGTTAGTTCTGACATACTGAACACCTCTTATATCCTGGAGCCAGATTTGAGCCCTTTTTTGAATTCTGTCAGCACTTGTCATTGCAATAGGACCTCAAGAAAACAAAGTTATATAGCAAGATCTGGGTATACCAATGACTTTGTTTTGATTGAAGAGTTACAAAAAAAAAAAGTGGTAATCATATAAAAACACGAAGTTCTATTTATTATTTCTCTTGCAGTAGCTGGTGTCTGTGAAGATGTCTTTTTGATCTGGAAGGAGCTGGAGGAAGCCAGGAGTACAGTGAGACAAGTTCAGAAAATGTTATCACAATCTGACCAGTCTACTTCTCTAGATGGTATAATTTCTGTTTCTTTCAAGACAGCTACCATTATATTAATGATCAACATCTTTTTGAGAACAGTTTTGATTGCACATCGATTTGGGGATGATTTTATCAAAAATGTCTGTATACAGGGTACAGCAGCTATATGTCTATATAGCACCTGTAATTGTTAAGTAAACTTAGGATTGCTTAAAACTTCCCAATACAAATCTCTGTTTACTATGGCTTAAACTTGCTAAACTTTAACAGCGCAGGCTGAAGCACACCATTTTTAGTTTACCGGTTACTAGCTTTAGGAGTTACCTGGATTTTAAGATATGGAGAATGTTTGGGTGTTTTTTTGTGATCTCTTCCTGTCTGCCTTAACCAGTAAATCTTCTGTTATCTGTATTATCTCTATACTATACTGGCGTCCAGAGTTGTGCAATGCCTTACCTTAAGACAGTCCTTACAGTATAGCACTGTAGTTTGCCTTTTACTTTAAACAGCCATCTCTAAAAAGATTAATGTTAACCAGTGGTCTTGATTGTATTTTCAATTATATCTTCCGTTGATTCATTTTCTCAAATGATTCTCCTTGAAGTCAGACATCTTATTCAGGATATACTTTCTGGCATTTTGTAATTCAACTACTAAGAAAATTCCTTTTTTATGTTGATCTTTGCACTATTTATTGTCTTTGCTCCCTGTCTTCTGGTGGGTTCTTTGCCATTTACAAAGGAATTTGTTGCAGTGCGTTGTCTGATAAGAAAAAACCCTAGAGATGAAGTATAGACTGTTAAAAATCACTCAGGAATATCTGTTCACTCCAATGCTGTCAGAGCATGCAGAACAAGTTTGAAAATTTTGATTCCAGTGACAGAGTCTGTTTTTGCAAATAGCTTATCCAAAATGAACTGTGTTATACAGGAGATTTTGTTTATTTTCTTTAGTAGCAAACAAAGGTGATCATCCATTACCAAGATGTAGAATTGATGAATATTTGACTGCTGAGAAGTGGTTGCAGAAGTATGGCTTGAAAGCTCAGAATCTCACACTGTATGATGCACTTGCTGATTGTGTTTTTCGCCACATAGATGGGCTTATTGACATAAAAGCTAAACCAGAGGATGAATATTCACAAACTGATGCTGTGAGTATTGTTAATTTTTCCTCACATCCTGTGAGTTGTTTGTTTTTCCTCTTAAAGCTTGAAAGCTTGGTTGATGGATAAATTGATGATATAGTATACGGCATTGTTGTTTTGAAGTTTTTGTTAAAATCAGATTATTAATTATTGAGACATAGAATAAGAATGTTTCAAAGAGCTTTTTGAGAATGACTGCTTTAAGGACTCCTTGCTGGTTCACATAAAATCTAAAAGGAAAAATTAGGACTGGCTTAAGCAATGCCTTGGTTTTCTTTGTATTTCTGTGGTGTGGGGTGAAGATTTTTTGTTATCTTTAGGGGATGTGTTAGTCTTAGCTGCTGCAGTGTCCTTAAGAAAATTTCTCTTAATTTGTCTTCTATTTGTTTTTCTCAAGCTTTACCATTTCACTGTTTGGTAAACTTCTTTTTTTTTCTAGTTGCAAGAATAAAGCCAATTTTCATTGAACCTTTCTAGAAGCAAATTCTGTGACCACCGTATCCCATGTTTATTTCTATTCCTGTCATGTGCAACAAGCATGTACCTTTGAAGTTTGTTCCCCAAATATTCAAGGCACTGCAAGATAATGTTTTCCACATGAGATGTGTTTTTCTTTGTTGTAGGAGACAAAGAGGAAGGTGATTCATGCAAGATACTGTGACAAGTTTGTACATACCCTCTGGAAAGATGGGTCTGTAGTTCATGTATATGTTACTACAGAAAAGTATAAGCAGTATGAAGAGAAAATGAGGAAAGCTCTCAGACAAGTGGAAGGAAGGTTTGTGTTCTTTCACATTAAATCAGTTTGATCACTTTACATGAGCATTGAAAAGTTTGACATTTACTGTCATAATAAGTTGAAGTGGTTGGTAAACTGACAGCAGCAGTACTAAGCCAGAATTCTATTTTAAATCAGAATTTGTATGTTGGATTTCTTTGTAGTCATAGAAGAAAACTGATGAAGTTTTCAGACTTTTGTTCCTCTGAAACACAGGTGTGAAAGTCAGTCTGCACATTTTTGAATTACTGCTAAAAGTGCCAAAAAGTATTGGGACTATAAGGTGGCAGACAACTTCAAGACTCATCAATAAAACTTAGTAAACATTCATCCTTTGTACCTAGGATCCCCTTGTGATGTCAAGAAGCACAGCTTGGCTTGTGCCTGTGCTGATTGTGGTTATCTGCCCTTTTTGCAATTTTGTGTTGAAGACAAGTTTGAACAGTCTAGATCAGAGTCAGGGCATGAGCTATTAAGTAATGCACATGATCAGAAGTTCATTGCTGAAACTAGCTGCTTAATTTACATTTCTGCAGCCATGTGGACACTTAGGTTTTGTATGACATCTACAAAATAAGAGGCAGTCTAAGGAAAACCTATTGTAGAACAAAAATAAATGTTGCCCTCTGGTTTGTATTTTAGGATAACAAGAGGCCTCACTGAAAAAAAAACAGGATGTGAACTTTCATTTTTTTGGTGAATTTTTCATTTTATTGCTCCTTCCCTACCAAAAATATAACAGCCTGATTGTATTTAGCAAGGTCAAGCAGTGTTTTGTTATTCCTTCTAGTTTATCTTCATCTTACTGTGTTTAGGATAATATTTACATACTGTCAAAGGAAAATTTCAGATAAGCAGTTTTGGTGAGTATGTATTTTTAAAATCCAAGTCAAGACAAGGACTTGCTGTTTTGAATGTTTAATCTGAATGTATAAAAAGTCTTGGTAGACCTCATCAAACACTTTGGATGAAATAACTAATGACAAAATAGCTATCAGTAGCTACTGTGGCAGTATCTCTACGTTTCCATGATAATTTTTTTTCTGAAACCTTTTGTGGAGATGAATATTTTTCCCAGGGCCCTGATGTTACGTGTGTTAAATGTCTCTGTTTCAGTGTAGATGAGTATTTTATGACTCTCAAGGGAAATCAGATTTGGACTTGCTGCAGCCATTACTGAGGAAATTTTCTTGTGCAGAGCAGTATGTATGAATGTATTTAGCTGGCAGGCACACTCCAGTCCTGTTTAAAATGTAAATCTGACTCTCTATTTAAGGCTCAAAGTCCACAAACCATTGAAGCATCTGTGTTATATTAAGGCTCTTTGAAGTGCTTAAGTTCCTTGGAGAAGAGGTTCTCAAGTGGTTTCCTGAAAAGGGAGGCATAGTAGTATAGGCTTAAATGATTTGCTGAGATGAGTCTGGAAAACAGATACAGGGACCATAGGTATGTTTGCTTCCATGTTGGATTTCCCAGCCCAAACTACCTGATAACTGACTTTATAAAGGTGCTGCATTGTTTCATTTTTATTTATTTTTTTTTGTCTGTCTCCAGATTTCTATTGAAATAAAAAACTAAAACTATCTTGTGATGTTATGTAAGGATGGGGACTGATTCATCAAGGGCTTCTGACAGTGACTGCTAACAGGTGCTTAGGGAAAGAGAATTAGAAGTACAGCAGTGACAAAAAGATCCTACCTTTCACACTCTGATGCAGAGCTCCAAAGATATTACAGAACAGGTTTTGATATTTTTTTTCATCCCCCAGGATTAAGTGGCTTCAACAAGGAAGCAGAGGGCTTTTTGGAAATGTGTTTGAAGATGACATCTATATTCTTATTGATACATCCCAGTCTATGAACAATAAGCTGCCACTAGTGAAGGAAAAAATATTTCAGCTAATGCAGGTATGATTAAAGGGATGACTCTGAAGGTTGAGGAGCATTTTAGGGTAAACTGATCATTTCTGGATGGTTGTTCCTCTACTTTTTGTTTCTTTTAAAGTTTTTATAAAACAGAAGCTTTATAAAAATATTTAGATTTTTCTTCATGTGCTAATTTTTTAGTTAAGAATTTATATTTTCCCCATTATACAACTATTCGAGAAAAGCTAGAGGAAATATTAGAAATTTATAAGGCTTAAGTAGCTCTTTCCCTCAAGCCACCTCCCTTGTAAAAAAAAAAATAAGCAAACAAAAACCCAAAAAAAGGCAACAAAAAAAACCCAAACCAAAACCAAGCTATGCAATGAAACACTTTTTGGCATTTTCATTTTTACTTTTAAGCAGTGTCATCCAGTTCCATTGGCTTGTTGTGATTTGTAATGTGTGTTCTAGATTCACTTCAATACTTCTACAATATAGGGTGTAGAATGTTTTGAACTTCCTTGCATCTTACAGTGACTGAGAACTTTGCAAAGGGACTGACAAAGTGCAGGAATACCTCAAAAGCTGTTAGTACTGGGAGAGACCTAAGAAAGGATTTGTCTTGCTTAGTTTTACAAGTCTACAGTGATGTCACCTAAGCTTACATTAATATTTCAGAGACATGATTAATCTTAAATTTCTTTAGTCCTAAGAGAAGTAACTGAGATGAAAATTCAGTCTGGAATTGATAGCAATCATTGGTCAAACTAAATAAATGAAAACTATGACAGAGACGTTTTTCAGCTAAGTGCTCGAGTCATAGCACAGTATCTTGTGGTCCTCTAAGCAGATCAGCACCAGAAATATATTAGATACTGTGCCAGAAGGTTTCACAGGAAGCTGCACAAAAATTGTGATGAAAGGGATGCAAAGACTTCAGACTCAGGCTCTACTCGCTTGCACAAATCTTCCCTGACTTATAACTTCTGTCTGAAAGCAGCTTCAGCAAATTCTTGATTTTCTCCAGCTGTCCTAGTTCCCCTTGTCAGTGGTCTTTATATGATTCTTGTTCTCCTCCTTTAAATGATATCCTACTTTCTTCCTGATTTCAATTTCCTCTGGTAAGCGGTGATAATCTCTTTCTTATACCACTGATCATATCCAGTTTCATCTCTCTTTCATGCCCTCCTACACATTCGCTGTTTAAATTGTTTGAGAAATAGGAATATATGGGGACTTACTTTGGGAATTTCAAGCAATCTTAATAGTTGCAAGCAATAATTTTCCCTGGTTTTGTATGTCTGTCTGTGCACCATAACTTTTATTATTTTGTTATAATTGTTTATTGTACTCATATAATAAACTATATAATAATTAAAATAATTGCTATTACTCAGTATTTCAGGATACAAGTATTATTTCTTTTAATAGTAGGTAAAATTCAGATTCTGTCTCTTGCAGGAACAGCTGAGACACAAAAAGAGATTTAACTTTGTGAAATTTAGTGCCCAAGCAGTGGCATGGCAAGAGAAACTTGTTGAAGTTAATGAAGAAAATTTGCAAGATGCTTGGCTTTGGATAAAAGGGCTTGAGGTAATATGATAGCTAATTACTGCAAAGAGTGTTTGTTCAAAGTTGTGTATGTTTCTCTACTTTCTGTATGGCTGCAGTGATTTTGCATAGACTTGAGATGCAAGTATTTGACTTGAGTAAACTGACAATATAGATGATGGATAAAATAAAGTAGATCTGAATACAATGTGTTTGTCAGGTTTAATAATCCTTTACCAATGGACCTGTTTATACAATCATATTAATTCAACTTGCAGCCTGCTATGTTACTAGCTGCAATGCGAGCATTGGCCAATTTGAATTCCGTAGGAATCATGTCATTGCTCAGACGCTGTGTTTAAATTTGTCATTCTTGCTGCAGGGCTGCTGCATTGATGAGAGGTGCTGCTGGCTAACTTACAGTTCAGAGGTGGTACAGGAGACCAAAGCCAGCAAACTGGAGAAGCATTTCTAGTCCCTTTTGATGAGTAGAGAGCTAACTTTAGGTGCCATAGAAACAGGAGAAAAAAACATACTCAGACCAAACATCTATTTCCCCAGTATTCTCTCTCTGACAGTGGCCAAAATCTGAGTGTTTTCCCCTGAAACAAAGCAGAACTGCTTGTAGTCAGTCACAGTCATCCACCAGCTTGTAAATATCAGCAGCTTTAGGACCACTTAATGTGTAAAATGTGGACAGCAATGTTATGAATACAGGACTAAAAATCAGTCATGCAAAGGTATAGATACATCCCGCATTATGTTTTGTAGCACAAAACCCCATGTTCATGAAATAAAACTCTTCAGCATTATGACAGCTCTTCCTCAGAATTAATATGAAATTCCTGGGGATGAGGGAGTTGGGTAAGCTACATAATACCTCTGAGACTACAAAGCAAGATCAATACCTTGGTATTCTCAGAAAACACTAACAGACCAACACACAGAGAAAAGGAAGTACTAGTGTGGCCTCCCTGAGCATCTGAACATTTGTAACTGAGCCTATTTAGCCTTATTTTGCTGCCCTACTTGAGGCTTGAAAACTTGGCTCTGTGTAAGTCACATATATTGTACAGCATCATGCAAGTTCAATAATACTTTGAACTACCACATTTTGATACCATCCTGTATATGCATTAGTGAATGTCCTTTTTTGTCATTATTCATAAAAGTCTGAATTTTTGATTATAAATTTCATTCTAAGTTCAGATCTAGATATCTGAAATAGAATAGGAAATGGCACAAGGACGGTCTACTTTATTTCAGGGATGACATTTACTGCTGACCTTTTAGCCACTTTTAAGCATTGCAGGCATATGTCTGAGATCAAAAAGCTGGCTTTACAGTGAAGCTGAAATGAACAGAGGGTTGTTCTGGAATATTATTCAGAGTAGATCCTTTGATCCCATTTCATGCTCTTTTGTCCCAAGACTAAGAATAAAGAAGCTGAGCTATAAACAGTAGCTAACTGCTTCTTAAAAATCCTTTAGATGTGATAACGTTTAAAATTTTGGTGGTTCTACTGTCATATAGTTGAAATATGTTAATTTTGTTTAAACACTGATAATATTGGTGTTTATTTGTAACAGTAGCAATTGAGAAACCTAAAATGAACAGCTTTTACCATAAGGTAAAGGGTTATTTTCTGTACATCATCAGCATCCACCCCGTGTTCCCATGATGTGAAAAGAAGTGAAAGAAGCTGTTTTGTTTTAAATCATTTTGGCCAATTTGCACATGATAATGAGTGATGTGTCTAAAACTTTGTAATTACTAAAACATCAGGAGTATTAGATAAGTTTAACAGCTTAGGCTGGTTATTTCTAATAAGTAGGTACTGGTAGGGATTGCTTGTGAATTAGAAGATAAGGTAATTAGGTAGATGAGCTATCACATTGCCTGGCCCATACACTCCTATATATCCATACAGAGTAACTCTCAGAATGTACCTTCTATTCAATTTCACCTGATTTCCTTTGTCCTTTTTAATAGAATAGATTTCTGGTGGGAAGGACTGGAAGAAATTTTAACATAGTTCATAGGACTGAAGAAATAATGCTATCTCTTAGCATATTTTTGCATGTATGGGTCAATGTTAGATAGTTACATTTATCTTTTGTAATGCATTATCTATATGGATCCTGAATCTCTTCTTACATGACTACAATACTCACTGCCCTCCAGAGCAGTACTCAGGTGTTATATAAGCATAAAACAGACTCTTTTAAGAGGTTTTGCTTTGGTTCCATTAAAAGACTAAGACTTGAAATAAAATAGTTTTTAATACTGGTAAATCTTACATGTACCTTTAGTTTGGAAGTTTTGTGCACAATGTTTGAAAGGTGGACAGTTAAGAAGATATAAAGAAGATATAAAATGCAGGGCTTAGGTTCCTAAGCCATGAAATGCATTTCATTGAATTTAGTGTAAAAAGAAGAAAGACCACTAAGTATGTGAATGATATAGCAAAAGTGCTAGTATTACTCCAGTGGAAATTTTTCGTGAGCACAGCATTAGTTTGCTGGGCATGTTTTGTTGCTATAGCTAACTCTTCTGTGCTAAAATATAAATGATACTTACATTAATGTGTGAAGGGGGTAGATGGGAGACAGTCTGGAAAAACATGTTTGGAAAACCAAGAACTCCTTTACCAGTTTTAGAGAAATAAAATTGTGCAATTGCTCTTTTGAGCAACTTTTGAACCGTTTGGTTAAGTAAAATATGTGTTTCAAGGGAGTGTGATGTGATGAGTTGGGAAGCAGGATCATCAGTGGTAAAAATGAAGAGAATGCCTCTTTTATCTTACATCATCGTTTAGTCTTTTAGTGATTGCTTTTGCTTGTACAGCTCAGATTGCTGCTGCCAGCATTTTCCTTCTGTGTGTTTGCATAAGCACTGAATACCAATCTGGTACCAATTTATGTTACTTTGATGCTTGCTTAGCTTTTGTTAGCTACATGACATTAATGTTTTCACCATTGTATTAGTCATTTTGGTTCTGTATTATCCCTTAAATTAGTACACTGTCATTATGAATTTAAGAACAGAGGCAAAGAACTGTTAGTATTTATAGCTGCTTCTTTGTCTTTTTCTCTTCGGTTTCTTAGGTTGGAAGTTCCACAAATACTCTCAAAGCTCTCCAGATTGCTCTTGCTGATACTGACACTCAGGCTATTTATCTCTTGACTGATGGGAGACCTGACCAGGTATTTCAAAATGAGAAAACAGAAGATGCAGAAAAGTGGTGTTTGCAGTTGGAATTATGAGATGAATGTCATGTCTGCAGTGCTGGGTCTTGTGGAGTCTCTTGGATGTTGGCATTGTTTTACAGTTTTTCTAGCTAAAAGCATATATTAGTATTTTACCAAAGAATTATTTGGCTTCATGTATACTTATTAATATTCTTATTTTTAATATTTTTATTAAGTTCAAAATTAGTGAAGAAATAATTTCTTTTTGCCTTGTTAATAATGTCTTCTATATCTTTTTAACAGTTAAAGAAAGGAAATGGCCAATATTGCTTTTAACTATTAAAGTTCAACCAACACAACAATTATGTTGCAAACATTGCATAATATGTCAATATTTTTGAGTATTTAGAACAACTGAAATGTTATCAGAATTTAGAGAACTGAATCAATAATTATTTTCTACCAGATACTTCAGTATTTTTGGAGATGATAGATCTACTTTTTCATCTAATTTTTATTTCTTTATGGGAGAAGGAAACTAACTTTCCTATTTTCTCAGCCTCTATTTTTTTACTGGTATTGAATCAACTTTTCTTTGAACTTTCTTCAAGTTTCAAAATTTTCTTTGAAACTTTTTGGTTTCTTAAAAAGACCCACACTCGTATACTTCCAAAAATATTTTTATATATATATATACAGTGATACTAAACAATAATGTAGTAGTTTAATTTCCTAAATTTTAGAAATTTCTTTTAAAACTTCAGAAGCAAAGAGTACTGATTATATTACAATTTAAATCATGTGCCTTAATGCATTTATCAGTCTTTCAAAATCAGTTTTAAATTAGATCATTTAGTTAATTTCTGATTAAAATAGTAATCTGTATAAAGTGGATATTTTTAACTGCACTATATCCATCTCTGAACAACAGAAGGACTGATTAAATTCTTAAAAAGTCTCAGTTTTGATAAATATGTTTCAAGATGCCACATTTTTAACATAAGGGTTTTTTGATTTTCAGCCCCCCCAGATAATTCTGGCTGAAGTCGAGCTTCACTGTAATAAAATTCCCATCCATACTGTATCCTTCAACTGTGATGATATAGAAGCCAATAAATTTTTGTATGAACTATCTACTAAAACAGAGGGACGGTTTCATTATTACAACATTTATTTGAGTGATCCTGATACTACAGAGTTTATTGTTGTGAGTATCTGAACATAAATATATTTGCTTGTTCATGCTACTTTGAAGAGCCACCTGACTTGCATTATTGTGATTTCATATTACAGTAGATTACTAAAAAAGAGAGGCCCAATCCTAGTCAGATTTGACATGATATGAAAGCAATAATATGATTATTTTGCTTGTGAAATTTTTCTAGACCGCAACAAAAAAGGCTAAATGTAATGCAAAGTACATTTATAGTGCTATTGTTGCAAATTCATTCTCCCTTTCCTGATGCTCCAGCCTTGAAAACTAAAACCTAAAAGTACATGTAGACCAAATCAGCTCTGGAAGAAACATGTGATTTCTACTGTTTCAGAAATAAGTTACTGTTTAAAATGAAAATATGGTTTGTATCCTGTTAATAAATAAGAAAATGCAGTGCTGAATTGGAATGATAATGATTCTATGGATTTTGTTTTAAGTTTGTTCTTCAGTAGCTGCTTGTGAGAGATCTATGAGGAGGAAGATGACTAGAATAGCAGTCATCTATCAACTGTGATGAAGCAGCTCAACAATCCCCAATAGGAAATTTCTGAATAGACTAACAGAAACACCCATTTGAAATGTATTCTTGCTTTTAATTAAAATTAACACTCAGTGAATCAATTGTATAGATTTCAGAAATGGTGGTAGTTGAACCATGAGAACAAGCAGTAACAAGACAGTACTGGGAAATTTGAACTTCACAGACCAATTAGAAAAATGCCAGTGTACTGGGCAATTTCAGTGATTCTGCTGTTGTGGACTGTGTGACACTGCTCATGTTGGAAAAATGAGGGCCAGAGTCTGTCTTGTACATCTCCAGACTTGGAGATGGGAGCCTGTGGCCCTGGGGGAGCTGTAAAAGGAGCATCATTGGAATTGCCTTAGTCTCCTCCTCTAGCCTAAATGATTCCTAGTCAATTCCAATGTTCACTTGAAGAGTATGCTTTTTAATTCCCTGGGCCTGGGACAGTATGTGATACAGCTGAGATTTGTAGGCTACCCCTTGAAATGTACATAACTTGTATTTTATTTATTTGCATACTTATTTTCTTGCTTGCTTGAAACGAGTGGAGCTAGTGACCTCATTACCTTATGCAGAAATACAGCTGCTCGTATCTTGAGGGGTAACTGGCTAGTTAGGGAATGCTTGCCATTTTCCTAGAAAGGAAGAATAATTTGTAAGGCTATAATGCCAAGCAAAAGAGCCTACCTAAAAAAGTATATGAAATTTGGAAGCTGTCCTGAATCATTATTCAGAAATATTTTCAGAACTTGCATCATTTCACTTCAGAAATTAAACACATTTTGGAGTAATTGTACTAAATAGTTTGATTTTCTTTTTGTTAGAATAAAGACATACATCTTTTGAAAAGAGAAATTGCTCAAGGAGAGAAAGATCTAGAGAAAGTGAAGACCTTTCATGAGAAAAGTCTGATGATGAATTCTTGTAATGAAGAAAATTATCCAGAGAACAAGTATGTCCTCATTCTGTTATTATATTGTTAATAGGTGGGAACTATTTCTTATATTTCTTCTTTTTAAAGAAATGGTTGCTTTCTTACTCTCAGGGTGTTTTTTTAACAGACAAGATAATGGAAAAGAGAAGTCTGGAAAAATTTACTAATACTGTGATGCCTGAAACAAAATTATCTCAAATATACCAATGGTCTCAACATATTATGAATAATTAAAGAAAAGAGAGGAAATTATTTTTTTGTCTCCAAGACATGGAAAAATTGATCCCTCTGACGTAGAGAATTCATGAAAAATTATTGTCACATAAGTAGAGCTGGCTTCATACCTCATGACTAAATGGCTGCCCATTGCGTTATGCTGATTGAAACATAAATTATGTACAGATATACCTGTGTATTTATTGGTGCAATGATAGTAAAAGCCATAAAAAAATGCATTAAAATAAATCAGATTTTTAAGACAGAAATCTACTTAAAACAGTAAAGGAATGAAAATAAAGTAAAAATTATTAAAAGTGGACAGAGATGTGTTTCATCTGTGGAAGGGCAGGTAGGATGTCCAGTATGAAAATATTTTCAAGTGTTTATTTCAGAATTTGCATATTTTATTTTTTATTAATGCTGGGACATAGAATATATATATGTGCATATGTATGTACATGGCAGATATTTTCATTGATGATGGTAGTTACTTTGCCCTGGGATTCAAAGTAGCTATTAAAGAACATTCTGTTTTTATTAAAAATATATGAGGTCATTACCTTAAAAGTAATGAACATCTTTTAAATAAACTAAAAAATTGCATTTAAATAATTAAAAAACCTAAGAATATTTTATCCTCCTTTGAACTCTCCTTTGAAATGCATATTAGTATAACAGAAGAATATCTTGCACTGTTCGAAACATTTGAAATCAGTGTTAAATATGCCAGAAAACTTCAGTTTACTGGTTTTTAAGCTGGTGTTATATTTTTGCAGTAATTTCTCTTTGTCACTTACAAGCAGTAATCACAAGCATATACACAGTGTCCCTGTATCTAAACACATTCTTCTCTTAGGAGTAGGACATGCTGTGCTTCAGAAGAACCATCAGTGCCACCACATGAGCAAACCAGGCAAAGCACTGCTGCCAATCCAGTCCGAAGAAAGAAAGCATTATATGCAGGTAAGACTCAAATGAGCTATAATTGTCAGCAGAATTCATTCACTAACTTGAAGAGATTCTGATGCAAATAGCAAAAATCATCCCTCGTTTTGGGAACAAATTAAGTGTTTGCTGACTTAAGTAATGATAATTTTGAAAATCTGAACTTCTCTTCATGTTTACTTTTCAGCCATCCTACTCATTTGGCCAAAACGGACAAACGTCTGCTCATTTGTGCTTTTTTGCAGGCCCTTCCATGAAAAAGTAGTTATTTTAGCAGAACATTTTGAAAGCTCTGTAAATAGATATTTACAGTAGTAGATATTAAACCCTAATCTCTTTTTATTTTAAGTAAGTACATAATTGGCAAGAATGAAGAGGTGCTCTATATTGTACCAATTACAGCATTACTTACAGTAGTATTTCCCCTTACTACACCCATAATACTACATTTCTCCTGGAAGTGTCCTTTGTATGCAGTCTGATACTAAATTTACCCAGCTGAAGTAAAATAAATCCTCTTCTTTGGGGAAAATACATAGTACAACTTAGTGTCGAAGTAGTTTTCTGTTTGAGGTATTGTGCAGGGAGTCCCTTAAAAACTGAATACCATAGAGGAACTCGGAAATCCCAGGTATGTATTTGAGCAGTAAGTTAGCTCTTCCTTTCTTTCCCTTTCAGCAACTACAGATCAAACAAAGACGAGTCTGCTGCAAATCCTGAACCGTGGTGTGAAATCCAGGGAAGAAAGCCCAGAGGAAGGAGTGTCTCCAGACGAAAAGAGTTCTTCTGTCAAGAAGGGTGTGAAATGTACAACCATTTTCAAAGGCAAGTTGATGGAACATGAAGCTCTGACTGGGGCAGATAATAACATTTCTCCTGTTACATTTTTAACTAATGGTTCCTCTTTTAAGCAAAACTCTGCAGATCTGTAGTACAAAGGACTGAAACTCAACAGAGATGCGGAGTTGGACATGAAGTTGGATGTTGCAACAGTGTCCTTACAGCTGTGGCCAGACTCCTGCCAGTTCCCAAACTAGCTGTTTACAACTGGGTTATCACTGGGGCTCACAAATATATCCAGATAGTATTAATTTCTTTCAGTAATTAGTTCAAGTCTGAACTTTATAATAAATCCTCTAAGTCATTCTAAAACCTTACCTATGACACTTGAAGATTTGTGACTTTTTTACATTTCAGCATCCTACGTTTATTTTTTTATATATCTTTTATAGAGATTTTTATAGTGGTGTGCCTTAAATTAGCTGCTACTGGCCATCTCATTAGTGGTACTACTTGGTATCATATTTTGACTTGGGAAATAAGCTGATTCATCTTTGGTCTTTGTCAAAAATAAATAAACTGAAACAAATTTTCCTATTTTATAAATTTCCTCACAGGCTGATTAGGGCTCACTAGGTATTTGGTAACACTGTTAGTATTGATCAAGCATCACAAAGGCGAGGAAAACTAATTCTCACTGATTAATTTAGCAACTGAAATGTTGTACAGTCACTGTGCATGATGCTGCATGCAGGCTCAAATAAAAAAATGGTGCTAATATATGGCAATTAATTTATGCATACTTTTGTGCGCACAAAACCTCTGACATAACAAAATGCAAATGTTTTCTCTTAGATCTGAAAACGCAGAATGTGAAAAGAGCATCTAAAAGGTATGTGTGTGTATATATAAAGGCATAACAGAAAGTATAGTTTACATATTTTCTTCAGTCATTTCAAACCTTTCAAATCTATTTCTACCTTGTGCTACATCTCACAGTCTCTCTTTTCTAGCTCTCCAGGTATCTCTTCAGCTCTTTGGTTAAAGACCCATGGCTTGGCTGCTAAGCGACTCACCATCATGGATGCCTTAGCTCCTACAACTGTCCCTCAGAGTACAAAATACATCCCAGTTCTGGACAAGCATGTAGTTTCTAAAGTATTTGATAAGGTAAAACTCCTATGCTGTTTGAAAGCTAGAACAAAACTTGATAGTGTTTTCAAAAGGATTTTAAAAATGAATTTCTATAAATGTCACAATAACATTTTCTGGTACTGTAGATTTTTGATGTGCACTAAATTATCATGCATATCTGAATGTTCATTCATGCATCAGTAAGAAGATAAAACTGATAGTTAATAGTATGTCTTGCATTCTTTACTCTGAAGTTCTTTCACAGTTGCCACCTGGTGTCAGTGTACAGCCATTGGGTGTTTGGCAATTTCTTGAGCACCGCAGCCTCCACTGATACTTACTAATTCACTGGAGGATGTATTTAATTTCATAAAATCATCTGGAAAAGGATGCTGGTGCACATTTTGTGGATTTGTGCATTCTCAACTTTTACATGTGACTGCTAACTAAGATCTTTTGAAAATTATTGTCATTCAGTAATTAAAATTAAATTTTGCAAGGTGCAAGTAAGACAGTTGTAAGATTATGTAAAATTTATGGGGAGTTTTGTATCATAAAGTTCAAATTGCCATTCCACTTATAGGAAATCCATTTCATGGCAAGTTGCTCTAATTTTTCTTGTGTGATGCATCCTACAAAAGTCCGATGAATATGCTGCTGCTCATTTCAATTAATAAAACTGTTTATTTAAACAATACTCAAAGAAAAAGCTAAACAACTCTTTTTTAATAATATAGAAAGAACAAGGGATTTGTAATAGAATGTGATATAAACTAAGTAAAAGATTTATAGCAAATGTACACAATTTTACATTTTAAAATATTCATGCTTGTTTTTTAAATTTAAGAATGGGAATTTTTCCTAAATCATGTAGACTGTAGAAGAAAAACTAGTTCCTCTCTTTGGTAAAACCAAGATCTGTAAGGATTTTTTTTTAAGTATGATTTTTTAAAAATGGAATTAAAAGATGTCTTTTTATATGAGAATATTTTAAAAGGTACATTTTATCATTTCAGATGTAAAATAGCCATTTTTCAAAAAAATTCAGACATCCAATAGCTACAAAACTGTGCAAAATAATCTACTGTAAATGTCAAACAAAAAATATTGTGAATTTCACAAAACTCTTATATCTCATTTGTGAGCAGTCACTCCTTTTTCCATCTTCTTCTGAATATATATGAGGTCCTCTTTCTTCCATGTTTCTCAATGAACAGCTCTCTGAGTCCTTTACAGAAAACCTTTGCAAAAAACAAAGCAGTCTATAAAACAGACTGTCTGTCTTTGAAAACAGTCTAAACTATGATTCAGCAAGTAATGAGTACAAGTAGTTTTTAATAGCAATTCACAGGAACTCCTGGTAGTCTAGTTCAGGCAGGACTGAATTAAGTTTAGTGTTATTTAAATGAACAGGTGCTGTAAGAATCAAAGAGTGATCCATGGGCTTTCTTTAGACTCAGGGATGTAAAGGCAAAATAAGAATTTTTGTAATTTCTTCATACCTATTAGTCTTCATTAGTTGTAATCAGACACTGAGTTTCTCAGGCAGTAGAGAATTATTGTTCTATATGTAGGGGAATGGATTTTTCTGGATCTGAAGCTGAGTATAGAAAAGAATAATAAGGTTGAGGCTTGCACACAAGGTGAAAGCAGAATTTCTGAGCTACAAAACCACTTCACCTCAAGCTTCATGCCATCAGATCGAGTAAATAGGGTGAGACTAGATAGTGAGTTTGAATAGACTTTAAGGATCTAGATTGTTCCAGTACTTTTTCATTGAAGATAATAAATGTACAAATCATTTTGCACTGTTCCTTCTGAGATCTTAGTTTTCCTGGTGTGGAATGTAGACATCCTTGTTTGCTTTTTAGGGGATAGTATAATTTTTATTTTTGGCCTTTGCCAGCAGTGATGATGGAATAAATATGAACGGAGATGCAGCAAGAAGAAGGTTTCCATGACAACTGTTCATTAACAAAAGGCTGACCTGTTGTTTTCAGTTCTGTGCGATCTGTCAGTTTCACCTGAGTTATTTCAAAGAGGTTAATTTAATAAACTACCCATCCAGGTTCATATTCAGAAAAGAAATAATGGCTTGGGAGCTTGTCTAAATTATGCTATGGTAATTCTGGGAGAAACCTTCCCTGTAGAATAATGTAAATATATGTTGCAGTTTGTGGCATCTAAGTACAGGTTTGCAAGTCATGGAGTTTTGACTCAGTGCTTTGCTCAAAGCAATCAGATTCAGTGAACAAAACCATCTTTCTTTGGTCTAAAATAAGAAAATTTTTACCAGGTTATTGTGCTTTGGTTTTGTCTTTAAGTTTTTGAAATTTGGGGTTTGAAATAAAAGTTTTGAAACAATTTAATTATTTTAGTGTGAAAGTTAAAGTATTTAATTTAGAAAATTAAAAAACATTTTGGCAGTAAAAGAATTTATCTGTGATTTCTGTCAGCTGAATCTGTCATATTTCACTTGACTTCATGAGCAGTTTTCATTGTTCTCAAAGTATGCATACTATTTCAAGTTTAGTATTTGATAAGAATACATTCCATTCTGCTTTTTGTCTTCAAAAGTATAATAATGTGTTTATGTTTGTCTGCCCCTTCTATTCTATACAAAGTATTTTATAAACTATATTAAATATTCATGTTGCAAATTATGCTGTTTGTACTTGAAATTACTCTTAGGATTTGTAAGGCAGTGTAGCTGTGGGTTCCTGCATGGTGAGGCCCTGCTGAACTTCTGTTATCTTGGTTTGAGTAACACCATAGACAATAATCATGGCATTACAGAACTTGAGGAGGGATCATCACTTCCCTGCCTGTCAGCTTTCAAACTTCACCTGGAAATGACAAGTAGCCAGATATCACTGCTTAGAATTATGGGCAGAGATTTACCTCATCTGTCTCCAGCAAGATACTTTCACTGACATGTTCCCATTGTCTTTAGCTTTTAAGCGATTTTAAGATTAATTTCATATCAGGAGCTTTGATGTGGTCTGGCACTGATGTGACACAGATTTATTAATCAGAGAGATGATGTCCTTGGAAAGAGAGGGTGATACAAAGTCACACCACTACTCCTAAAAAAATGTTGCAATTTGCTATCCAGCTATGCTGAGTTGATTCAAACACAAATAAAGCATCACTGAAAAATGTTCTCAATTAAATAATTCTCTTTATTGCTCTTTTTTCTGATTGTTGCTCTAATTCCCCCAACAGGGGTTTTAGTTTAATGTAAATTGAAACTCATCCATGTTTTTCTCATTTATATCCTGATCTCAGACAGACACTTGGAGATTTCCACTCAATCATATGAGCTGAAGACAGTTTTGGGGATGGTAACATTCTCTTTCTTATCCAGTTCTTAATTGGATTTTTTTTGTTTTGTTTGTTTGTTTACATTCAGCATCAGGACATTGATAAGTAAAACAGCTTTTCTTTTATGAACTACTGATAATTTAAGAGGCTAAAAGATGGTGGGACTTTGGACTGAGAGTTTGGAAGGCATCTTTCCTCATCTTTTGCCATCCATTTCTGCCCTTCTCTCTGCCTTTTGAAGATCTACTCGCAGTTGTATTTGTTTTTATTTTGCGATGAAAAAAAAAAAAGTTGACTTTTGTAGGTATTGTATTGGGAGATTTGAAAAATATTGAAGCTCCTGATTCTATGAACCTGATTAAGTTCCTAAGAAATCAAGACAAGTTTTGGGGACCAATGTCCACCTTGTTAGCTCTTTGGTGATCAGTGTGATGGTGAGAAATATCTCTCTACAACTTTACTGCTCTAATTCCTTAAAAAATAAAGTCATCCAGAGTAAGAGCATTAAATACATTTAAATATCTGCTCTCACACCTGTATGCTGGAATTAGATACGAGAAAGTATGGGAGTGTTTTAAGGCAATAAAACCTGGAATATGGTCATGCACTAGACACGTTTCCTTCTAACTTACATTATTAGAGTGAGTTGTTTGACAGTACTGATTCAGTTAGGATTACATAGTAGTTAGAAATCTTAATTTGTAACTTCAGCATAATGCTGTATAATTGTAGAAGAACTGACTGGAAACTGTCTTAATTCTGATCTTTGTGGTGCTTAGATTTTTCTTTCTTCAGCTTCCAGTGTTCCTACTGGCTGTTCTGAGCCTTGGCATTCAGTCATTCGAAAATTTGTGACATAAATGGTATTCGTGTCTTTTATTGTATAATAGATGTTACCATTGGCCCATGTTAGCAGTGACAAGAAGGGGATTGCACTAATTAATCCTTGGGCAATGAATCTTGATGCCTATAAAGAGAAGCTGGAACAAGCAATTAAATCCTATGAGAGGCAAGTCTACTCACCAGAAATTTATCATGGTTGCAGTCATGTTTTGTTTTTTTTGTCAGGTCCTTGGTATTTCCTCACACTTACTTTGCTCAATACTGATAATTTTGTACGTTGACACACTTTAATCCACCATCAACATATAGGAGAAATTTTATTTTCTTAAAAACAAAGAAAAAAAGCTGGATGTAAAAACAGACAATAGGCAAGGAGATAAATAACATGTTGCTCATATTATGTTTGTTCAGTGACAAAAGCAAAGTTCTTGCGATGTTTGGGAGCAAACCTGAAACCCTGAAACCCTGATGAAAATTCATCCCTCAGGAAGAATTGTCCATAATCATACAATGCTAGCCAGACTTTTAACTTAAAATTAAGCTCCAATATCCATAGACTGACACTTAAATTAAGGATCTGCTTTTTGCTGCCAGCTCTTTATCACCCAACTATGCATGCAAGAATATAACTGAGGCACCAATAAGAAACTTAAAATTTAAATCTGCTGGGTTTTTTTTTTTTTTTGAGAGGCATATGTGTTGTACTTTTTAATTAAATGTTAGTAAAAGCACAACAGAAGAGGAAAAAACCATTAGATCTCTAAGCTACTTCTTTCCATGATCCAACTTTGTGCATTTTTTGGAAAAAATGCAATTACTTGACTATGGTGTAATTTAGTAATCATATGAGAGCTTGGACAAGAATTATTTTAATAAATATTTTTATGTTTATATAAATGTATTCTAATAACATTTACAAATGTAATTATTTTATATGACCAAAACCCCCTTGATGACAAGTGTTTAGTCCTTGTTTTTTGATTAATTCCACAGGGGTCTTTAAGGTTTGAGATTATTTTCCTTAGTAGCTATATGATTATACCAGTTCTTTCTAAAGCATGTTAGAGCTTTCTTTTTCAATCCTATTGTCCTATATAGATATTTAGTGATAAAATTAAGAATTCTGATTTGAAAATGCTGCTTGCTATGTCTAGTGTTAATGGAGTTCAGTGAATAAAAGTCTTGGTTTTTTGTTCTGTCACTGAGACAACACTTGTTATCAGGCTGATGAAAAATTCATAGAAATTGATTTGTCACTCATTTTAATAGAAAGTTCAGGTGGTGTATTTGTGATGGTGAATTCTGAAAAAAATTCAAGTTTTTCAGTGCTGTGCCGTACCACTGAATATTCTACATTTACTGACTTTGATTTTGAGGGAAAATAAATTTTCTGGTTTAGCTCTGATAGCATTTCCACAGTCTCCCTAAAAATTTGGTGATCAGGATTACCATTTACTTCTGTTTACCAGCAGAGATCAATGAATCAGTGTATTTACATTAATAGGATTGAGTTCCTACTTCCATAAAAAAGAGGTATAAAAGACAAATCTGCCTGGAGAGCCTTATAATAAACAGTGTAAGAGAGATCTCTTTGCTTTTCCTCTACATGTGAAAGAGCAAGCCAGTCAAATAGTTTTTGCTCTAGATGTCACAGCCCTTTTCTAGTAACTAAATTTCCAAAAGTTTCAGTTCTGCTTTGTAAGTAGTGTAAATTTATTCTGACATATGTAGATGAAACAATTCATCAGGGCATCCAGATTTCAAGCACAGAAGCAAAGTATTCTCTCCATATGCAGATTGAGTTTAGCATCAGATTTTGAGGGAGAAAAGTGATGATGGCAGGATTTTTGTGGTCTGACAAAAAGAATATACAGTATTAAAGGAGAAAAACATTGAAAGCTTCATAATATGTATGATTTTATATAGCCAGAAGCTTTTATAACCAACTTAGTCATGAGTGTGCAGATTTAGGATGAAATAGGCATTGGAGCATATATGTATATTGGGAATGAAGTATGTAGTTTGTATTCTAAAAATGCTGGGATTTAGTTTCTGGTAGACAAAATTAATCATCAAGGATTTAGTATTCAGAATCTGTTGTTAATGTGCTTTTTTTGTACATGCACCAGTAAATTTGGCAAGTCTGCTTATAGTCAATCAGGTTACAATCTGAATTTTTCCTAGCAATGAATTTGTTCTCATATCCAAAGGAAAATTGTAATTTGTAATTCTAGAATTACAGTAATTAGGATCATCAGTAAAGGTTTATTTCTATAGCTGAAATGAAGTAATTTAGTGATGGCTTGTATGGGATGCTAACAGAGAAAACCATAAGCTAGATGATCTTATAAGAGTTTAAAATTTATGTCTTAAAAAGCAAAAGCAGAAATTTTAGTGGTGCTTTTAAAAGATCTCAGATTTGCATTGCTTTGGGATAATCACTTCTGTTTTCCTGTCAGTGATTTTTCTTCATAGCCAGAGTTTAATTAATTAGAAACCTGAATTGCACAACCGAGGGATAATCTTAGCAGTGAAAAAAATAGAAATTAGCATTACTGCATTCAGACTACATTTTCTGAAAAGGTTTAATTGGAGGAACTGTGCAGCTTAACAGGCATTTAATCAGTTTTGTTATTTGATTTAACTTGCTGGTGCTGAAGACAACCATCCATAGAAAATTCTGGCAGGAAGCAGAAGTGATTGCCATTAAACCTTCTATGACCCTGAAAGAGTCATGCTGTTATTTGATGGAAGATACTGCTTTCCCATCTTCTTTTGCAGTTGATAATTTCATAGCTGAACGATGATACAGTTTGATGATGCAGTGTGCTTGGAATACAAATCAGTATAGATATCTTAAGAAACTGTGTTTATTTGCTAGTTTTGAGATGATCAGCTGCACAAGGAACTGCATTCCCTCAGAAACTGCTTTGCTTTCTTTAATAGGCGCCTGAACCTAGTTATTTGGAGAGCGCTATCTCAGGAGGAAAGAGACAAGTAAGCTATCACTTTTAAAAAGCTAACACTTTTCTAATGTACCTGTGAAGGGCTGGTCATAAATATTTGGTAGTCTTTTATCACTACTTCTATAACCAACTGGTTTAATTTTCAAACATTTCATAAATATACCTTGCTTTCAAAAATGTATATATGATATGGAGTAATATCAAATTCTGGACCTCCGTTGTGTGGTGCATATAATTTTCAAAGGAAAGGACTTGTATTCCATTTGAATGTTGCTTCTCTATCCTTAATCAGCGTCAAGTGCAGGGCCTTGGGAGGGCAGCATGTCATTGCTTTTGACATCAAAGTAAATCTCTCATCCTGTAAAGAGTTCTCTAGTGGCTGATTTGTTAAGGTGTAGTAAGCACCTTAAAAGCATGTGTTGGAACTGTATATCACTCTGGAAGTTTGTACTATGTTAACTAGCCTATATTTGTATATTGATTTAGAAAATTAATTGCTGTATAAACATCAGTGAAGTTAACATCTGTTTGTGCCAGAGAATAAAGCAAGGAACAATTAATGAAAACTTAATGGGCCTGAAATAGTTCTTCACAGAAAATTGGGGATGAAAACTAGAATGCTTTTATGAATACATAAGCTAATGAGAAAAAACTCTACAGATCTATCATTAATAAGGAGAACTAAAACCTCATTCTGGTGCAGAGAGGAAATGAGGACTCTTAAACAAAACAGCATGTAATAAAAAAAAAGGAAATAGGTGTCTTTTGATAGACAGTGAGTTGCGGAATATGGAAATTTGACAGGGTGTCATCCAAAATGTTTAATTATTGATAACATATGGCCAATTATGCATGTAATGAAAAAAATGTCATAGCAGTTACACAGTCTATTGCTAGAGGAGCATATTAATCATTAATATTGGTGCCTAGATATTAAAATATTTGATACACTTTTCAGAAATTATGGCTCAATGACTTGAATTTCTCTGTAGCTGTCTTTCTGTAAGATATAGTTATACCAAACGTGATTGTTCGACCGAACACAGCAGTATCTGGATGAAATGCAAGAACTTGTAGCATACAGAAGTTAAATTGGGCAAATCTGATTCTTTATTCTACCTCCACAATTTATGACTCTATCTGTGAAGCACCAATGTAACTAAACTTTTTTTCCTACTTGTGGTTATTAATTTCTTTAAATATATATATATTTTTAAGATTTAAAGAGGATGGGCCAATCCAGTATAAACAGCATAAAGAAGCTTTGCTGGAGGCTTTAGAGAATTTGGGATGGCCAGTTTCCTATGAAGATGTAAAATTGTTAGAAGATGAGATATTGACAGCATTAACATATATACAACAAGCCTCTGATCTTCAGGAAGCTGTCAAAAAGGAAACTGAGAAAAGCTCAGAATCACACATAGGCAACAATAAAAAGGTAATACATGGGAAGGGATTTTTTTCCCCCTAGATAATCCTCTTCACTGTGTACCTCTGGAATATTTTTTCTGTGAACATAGATGATAAAGTAGACATGTAGCATGATGCTAAATAAAATGGGTGGAGGAAAGAAGGAAGTTAAAAAGAGAGCAAGCTTTCAAATACTTTTTTAAAATATTGGGAAGTAGAAATTCTGAAGTTTCAGAGAGAGACACAGAAATCAAGCCTCTTAGAAATTAATCACAGCCAAGGATCTTTATCTCCACTGCAATGATAGCAGGAAAGAGAAAGAACAGATATATTAAAGACATATTTAGATACAAAATTTGTGGTTGGGTTTAAATCTGATAAACAGGACTAAAAAGATCTTGTAATATTGGAGTAATTCACTGTAATCTTCCATGGTACATTTCTTGTAAAAGAAAATATCGAGAGAAGAGGAGGGATTCTACTTCATTTTTGTACACTAAAATTTAAATGTCCCTAAAATGTGGGTATACATGAACTGGTGGTCAATATCACAGCATTCTGAACTGAGTCAGTGGTATCTGCAGCTCATTCTGAAGTGGACACGTATTTTTGGCTAGGCAGAGAGGCTTTTTTTCTCTCTCTATTTCTTTAATATATTAGTCTAGCATTAATACAGTAGTCTCAATACTCTGAAAGTACGACTGAAGTTAGTGTTTCTGTATATATATGTGTGTGTGTTTTCTGTAGGTTTGAGTTTTTTAATTCCATTAAGGCTGCACATTTGAAAACATTATAATGTCTTCAAAATACAGATGATCTTGATTCATTTCACATAGTTTGAAAATACTACATTGCTGTTACAGCTATTTTGATTACTGATTTATCTATGCCATATAATGAATGTCCCAATACAAGAGCAGAAGAAACATGTTTATGTTTCATTTGTTGAGTTTAATTTTACTGTTGCCTTGAAACAACCAGTGTGTGCTCTCAGACATGATGTGATTAACATTGTGCAATCACTTAGCCTGAGTCAACCTGCTTTAGGAGTCTAATCAGAGTAGCATCTTCAGTAATTGCTAATCTGCAACTGAAAGGCTTCAAGAGTGAGAGGCAGAAATGCAGATGTAATTAGAATTCTGTTTATGTGGTAGAAAAACAGTGTGAAAAAATGAAGAAAAATGAGGAGCCTTTTAAAAGTGTTGTTGAAGGTTTTGCCAACTGTGATGTCTGCCCACAAAATGGGTATAGAGGAATAAGCTGCCAACTGAAATACATTACAGGAAGGAAATAGCGCTGATATGGCACTGAAAATTGTCATTGTGACATCATAGAAAAATCACAATTATCCCAAAACTCTACTCAAAAAAGCAGACTTTTAAATTTCCTGATGATTTTTTCACTAAATTAAAAAAAAAAACAAAAAATCCCCTTTAGTTTTTTAGGTCTTTCTTTTTAGGCTCTTTCATAAAAATGGGCTGTGTCCACACAGAATGGGCTTGTTCCTATTGGCACCCAGAGAAGTGGTGGTTGCTTGACTCTGGAGGTGTCAGGATTATGAAAACCCAAAGATTGGACCAAGGTACATGGAGACCTGTGGGTATTCTTTGTGTCTGTTCTCACTTATAGTAGAAAAGTGCAAAGACTATTCTTTTTGAAAGGGAATTAAAAAATGTTGCAGCTATTGGAAGAAGTAAACAAAGTCTCCTTCACCAATTGTGGTTTAATGCATTGTCTTCAACAGAAGCAGAGTGAAACATGGTAAAAATCCCTGAGAATCAGATGGGGCTCTTTTGTAATAAAAATACTGAATGCCAGAAATGGCCACTCTAACAGTGTCTTGGTCAATCTTGCTGAACACCTAAAAGCTGTGTGAGAAAAAAGAAGGATGGTTTTGAATTTAGACAGTGTTTCTGAGCCACCTGGATTCTGCACGACTCAGAATCCTCATTGTGGATGCTTGTGTTGTCTTTAGTATTTGGATTAATGTGGAGTGCTGGAAGTTGCCCAAGTTATTAGTCAAGCATTACAAATCAGTTGATAATAAATATTCAGTAGCAGCTGTCCTTTTGGAGCCTGAGGAATTAAGTAAATGCTTTACCCAAATACTTTTTTGTGTTTGTGGAACTGTAGGTCTGCTCTCAAATCAGCCTTTGTTGAGTTATACTTCAAGCAGTCAGTTAAGCAGTGTGGAGGGCCTTTGGTTTAGTCTGAGTTTGAAAACCCAAACTGTTGATATAATTAATATTCTGTTGGAATAAAGAATAAGCTAGAAAAATCCCATGTGTCTCCAGTTTAAAATATCTCCTTGCCTTTTTTTTGTGTTTTGCTTATTTTTAGGACTCTTTTTCTAGGGTTGTTTGTGATTTTTGAGAGGGAGTTTGAAAAAAAGAGATTGTGATAATTTTTGTGAAACTGAGAACAAACAATTTAGCCAAGTTTATTAATATATTTTCCATCATTATTCGCTATTAGGGGAAATCAAGTATCAAATCAAATAAGTTTTTTAAGGAAAAAAATGTCATCTGAAAAAGAAGCAAGTCATACACATCCTAACAAGCAGGGGTTTTATTAAGAGTCTGTGAGTTTTTCAGAACAATGGTAGATCTGTGGAAAAGTTTGAGATTTCAAGTGGCATATTTTTATCATTCTGAAAAACCATATATGAGATGGATGCCTGCAAATTGTTCATAAGGTAGACTAATAAATATTTTAAAAATTAGTGGTCAAACTGATTTATTTAATTGTGAAAATAAATTCCACAATTTTCATTTAGTGGTGAAACTGATTTATTCTAAGAAAGTTTTGCATTTGCTTGTAATTTATATTTAGGAACACTATTGTGAAAAGAATGGCAAAAATAATTTGCGTATTAAAAACCCAAAGTAGTGGGGCAGAATAATGCACAGTGGCAGGTCTGAAAGATGTGGTGTAATATTTTGCTAAACTGGAATGTTTTAAAATGGTTGAAAATGTCAATTCAATTTTGAATTTATAGTTTGGAAATAAACTTTTTTTCCCCAGACACTTGAAGATTTGTTTGAACATTTTTTGATTTCTTTTTTTTTTTTTAACGATTCATCCCATACAATGAGGTACCTCTAATGCAAATCAGATTACTTTGAAAATTCTCCATCTAGACAAAAGAAATGTGTAGGGGAAATTTTCTTATTCTGAAAAAAGAGATGATTTTTCTTTACTTCATACTTTAATATGAGTTGTGCAACTTCGTAATTTTTTTTTGTAGGAAAATGGTAGCCAGATCTAATAATTCATTAAGGTAAATTTCTGCATGAACACATGAAAATATAGGTATTGTTATGAACTTACACAACAGAATTTTATAGAAAATTCTTACATGAGTACTTCCTGTACTTAGAACAATTCTGAAGGTTTAAAGTATTTCCAGTTTACTATGGATTCTGTATGGATCTCATAGCATTACATTGCCTCAATTTTTAAATAATTTCAAATAACAGATTAAGGCTGACTGCATTAGCTGTTGTAGACAAATAATTGTGTCAAATTACAGGGACTTGAAGAAGAAAGTGAGAAGCTGAAGTCTAAGACAAGTAAAAAATGTCAGATATTTGTGACTCACAAAAACCAAAAGGTAATTGCAAGATCAGATGTCACAGGATTTTATTATCCAGGTATATATTTTTGTCCACATTTTCAATATTATGTAGTTTTTCTTTAATACTGATAAAACATAAGTTATGGTCATAATTTACTTCTTTCTTAATGACATTTAATATTACATGTGTATATTCATGGAAAATTAATATCTATTTTGTATGTGCATATATATACATTTATAAGAAGACATTAATTTTGTGAAGTTGGAGAGCAATATGTTTGTATGGAAGGAAATAGTAAACCAAGCTTTTGAATGTGTCCAAAAAGATCACTAAATGCTGCTGACTTTTTGTTGAATTTTAAGCTAGAATGATTAGTAGGTAAAACTCATTTCTGTTATTTCTTAAGGTAAATATTCCCTGTGTATATGTGTTTATCTTTGTGTTACCTTTAGTTGTTTGGTTGGGATTTTTTTCAATTACATATTTTTATCTGTGGTAGTAGTTTTATTATATTAACCGTCAATTTTATTATGTTAACCTGATCAGCTTACAAATTTCAAACCTGTGCTTGAAAAATACTTCATTTTCTTTTTATAGCATTATTAAGAATGGTTAGTAAGGCAGGATTTTTTAGGTACAAATATCTCCATTGCCCTAGCACAGCTTATGGTAGCTAAATGAAAATGAAGAATTTATGGTGCAGACATGTTTGACCTCAGATATGTGACAGCCTATAGGATTTTTTTACAAAATAAATACCACAAGGGGTGAAAGGAAAATAATTTGAATATTTTATTCTGTTGTTTTTCAGGTACTGTGATAAAGAATATCAGTTCTACCTGTGCACTTGTTGTCTTCAGCAATGGGGAGAGCTGTGATGTCCCTGTCAAGTTCATTATACCTGTGGGAGGTGCTATGCCATGCCCCCATCTGCAGGTGAAAAACTGTATTTTTTCATGATTGCAAATATGAATTTTATATTTGGTTTATTTGCTCAGACCTAGAATAAATTACAGATTTTTAAAAATTCTTTTAAATACATTTATTTCTTTTAAAGAAGTTTTTCATTATAGTAATATCGTGCTATTTCAGCATGAAGTGTTTCATTTGTTTGAAGTTTGTTTTCATTGTAATTCTATTCCTTTGTCTATTAAAATTATGTGTTCTAAATTAATCTATATTGTTTTCTTTATAAAACATGAACATTTCCTCAGCCATAGAAGAGAGGTGAGCTATTTTTTCATAGAGTTATTGTTTCCTAGCACATAGATTATAAATGTAAGAGAGCCTTTTATACTTAGTGTGATTTACAGCATGTTTTAACCATTTGGTTTCCACAGAATGTTTTAAATCCAGCAAATAACTATATACTGAGGCAAATAACAATAATAAAAAATTATAATCCCTGTTCCATTTCTGTTTTTCTTTAAAATTCATCAAACAACTATCTGTAATCACAGCTTGTTTTTTTTGGTGATTATTTTACCCACCAGAAAGGTGATGGTTGCATAGAGAATACAGCATGGATCCATCTGTTTTGAATAGAAGAAACATGTTTATAATTGCATTGCTACATATAAAACTAAAGACATGCTTTTTTTTCAGTTTGAGTTTAAGGCAAATTATGATATGGTAGCTCCTAATAATTCTGTAAATTCTGTATCCAACTCTAGAGACCTGCAAAATTTGATATAAAATTGTGACTTCTGCATTAATTTTAAAAACAGTTCTGGATAAATCAGTTACATCTGGAATTATCAAAAATTCCCAAGGTTAGTTTAAAAGGTTGCTGAAAGCCTTTAAGTTTGCACAGAATCCAAGGGAATGCACAGTTTCTAAGAGTTTCCTCATTCAGTTCAGCTTGCTAGCTATGCCCAGGTACATTTAATAGAGCTTGGACCTTTATTTTTGTGTTTTCTCCCCAATTCAGTGGAAATTGCATGATCAGAACACACAAAGACCAAGTTCTTCTTTTCTTTCAATGGTCCATATTAAATCACGGGAACATGATAGAATGATGATTCATGTAAAAATACCTTAGTAGTTACACTTTATATCTTGTAAATCTCACAAATCACATGGTTCTTGCATTGGTGCTTTCCTGGTGTGCAGGTTGGAGACTATGTGTTTGCCAGAAGTGGAACACAGGCAGAAAATGAATATTATGTACCTGCCATTGTCATAGCAACACCAGATAGGATGAAACCAGGTGACAAACTCTACACAATACTGATGTTCAACAACAGGAAGGTAAGTAAACCTAGAAGTTGATACCAGTCTGGTGATTTTACCATTATTCTGATTTTGAAGAGGCAGATAGAATTTTCCAGGCTAATGAGCTCCCTGTCCCAATCTGAGTCTCCAGCTAACCAGAGTAAATCAGATTTCAGAGTGCAATGAACAGCTCATGTAATAAATCTGAACAAAGAAATTCTGTAGGATAATTTATTCTTAAATCATACTCTGTTCTTTCTTCTTGAATACATTTGGTGGCTTTCACAAGTTCCATGCTTCTAAAATAAGAAACATAGGAAGTTTTAACACTTTAAGTATAGTCTGAAATTAATTCCATTATGTTTGTTTGGTTTGTTTTTTGTTTGTAAGCCATTGTGATAATTTTACTGCATTTTTCATAGCGTGCATTAAAGAAAATTTACTTTGTACTTGACACTTTTATATTAATTATCTTCATTAGAGGCTGATTACAGTTACACTTAAACCGTTGAGTTTTTATGCATATGTATCTTCATTGCTTTTGGGATTTCAGCTTAAATTGATTGTGTTTTTGCATGTTGATTGTGTTATTGCAGGAACACTGTATAAGAAGCCAGCTCATTAAAATCAGCCAAACCAAGTATGCCTATTCGTGTCAGTACATAAGAACGGTACAGACAGTGGATTATGAGATGTGAGTATGTTTTAACCTAAAAATACAAGATTTTTAAAATTTGAGTCCTAAATATTGCACTTTGAGTTCAGCTATGCTGTCAGGTTTCCATACATAGTACTCTAACTGCAGCTATTGTGAACTGGCTTACTCTACATATGCAACTAAATTAATGTGAGAATTTATTGCCCTGTTTTCATTCTGGAAGCACTGGTGGGATGTGATGGTTTGAAGCTTAGTCACAGGAAGTTTTTAAGTGGATTGCTGAAAAGGGAGATGGAGTTTCTGTTTGTTGTAGACCTTATTTTCCTTTTAAGATACTTACTGTTTTGTAAAGCTGCACATTAAATTGCAAATTTTTTCTAAGATACTTGCTCATCTTCTGGGCTTAAATCTGGAGAATGATGGAGAGAGAGTGTGTAAGATGAGTATGAGCCCCCACTTAAGTTCTGCAGAATTAAGGTACATCAAGATATGAAGTATGCACTGAAAATGCAGTGGTTCCAAGTATTTGTGGATTACATTTTCATCTTGTATTAAGTTCTAGTTTGATCCAGTTGAAATTGTGACACCCTTCAGACCACTAACAAGCTCAGACAACCGTAGGATGGACAATAAGATCGGAAAAATCATCTAGGGATATTTCTCCAGAATACATTCCCAACTTACAATAATTTGGGATTTAAAAATTCTGTGAAGCAGAATTGGAGTCCCTGTATTGAACAGCCTTGATAAAATTTTCTTACATGAATTTGTGCAGTTACATTTTTTGAAACCATGTAAAACTTCTTCCCAGGGGGAGTTGCACAGTTTCACATTTTGTGTGAGAAAACATAATTTTGTTTTGAATCTTCCATTTGCCTTGACATCCACAGAAGTAAGGATTTCCCGTTCGGTGTAGTATGAGCACTGCTGAAAAAGAATAGTATAATCTCCATCATGGGAAGTCTATTTCCAAGAGGAAACATGAACAGGACAAATCACAGAATCACAGAACTAGCTTGTTTGGAAAAGACCTTTGAGATCATCAAGTCCAACCTATCACCCAACACCGCCTTGTCAACCAGACCATGGCACTGAGTTCCACCTCCAGTCTTTTCTTAAACGCTTCCAGCAATGGTGACTCCACCACCTCCCTGGACAGCCCATTCTAATGCCCAGTCCCTCTTTCTGTGAAGAACTTCTTCCTAATGCCCTGCCTAAACCTTTTCCCACTGCATCTTGAGGCTGTGTGCTCTTGTCTTGTTGCTGGTTACCTCTGAGAAGAGACTGATCCCCACCTGGCTACACCTTCCTTTCTGGCAGCTGTAGAGAGAAAATAATTCCACCATTAAGGGCAATTTTAGATCACAGAATCATGGGATGGGTCAGATTGGAAGGAGCCACAGTGGTCATCTGGTCTGATCTCCCTGCTCAAGCAGGGTCATCCCAGAGCACATGGCACAGGATTGTATCCAAATGGTTGGGTATTTCCAGTGAGGAGACTGCACACTCTGGGAAACCTGCTCCAGTGCTTGGTCACCCACAGATGTTCTTAAATTTCATTGAAATGTTCTAATATGATTATCAACATTAAAGATTTCATCTAAAAATTATGGGTGAGGGCACCAGTTGTGGGCTGATCTATGGACTTACTGAGAATGATGGAGTCAAAAGCAACTGAGATTCAAGTCCTGTGATTCCCACATATTTTCTAGTAGTGATCCCAGTACAGTTTGAAACTCAGCCTTCTGCCAGCTTGCAGCCACTGCACACAAACAAATGAATACCCTCTCTTTACTGAGCAGAATTCTCAATCTGGTAATACATCCATGCTTTTTCCCAGGCCACATCACTGATATGACAGTAGCCTCTTCTCACCAAAAAGCAAACCTGAATACCATGGTGTCCTTCTTAATGCATACAACCAGCTGAAAAGAGGCAGGTATATTACGGGTCTCACTTCCAGCAAAATCAGCAGAAGTCTTTCCCTTCCACTGAGTTGGATTGTATTCTAAATGAGGTACCATATTAAGAAAATATGTGATTAATTGCATAAGCAGTAAGAATAGTGTCCATTCTACATGCTTTGTTTCATGAATGAGTGCTTTTGTAAAAATATTACTTCTCCAAAGAGAAATTATTAGCAAGCTGACTAGCCATTTTTATATACAAATGAGGAGAAAATTGAGTTATGCACTGGCAAACAGAGGAATTCTTTGGAGAATTAGCTGAAATGAATGCACTAAATGGAGTTTCCATTAGAACCCCTACTTTTATGAGGGCATGGAAGTGTGCTTTCCAATGAAACTTGTTATTTTTTATATTTCTAAAATAATTCCCTACCACCTGTGTCCTACTTAGAGGGGGACACTGCAGCATATTGCTCATGGGTATTCACAAATCTAATGAGAAAGTGCTGACATTGTCAATAGGAACAATGCAAAAGCATAATTTAATTGGAAAAGAATCAAAAAGTGTGAATGCAAAATGATATAAGAACCTCAAAAAGAGACAAACCCTTTGTGCTAAGTGCTGGAATAGTAAGCGAAAAAAAATTAAAAAGCATGTCACAGATTCCTGTGTTGACAGGAAGTCCTCAGTGCCCATAGATGTATTACAATGGCTTGGCTAACTCCAGCTCTGAGTTCTTTGGGATTATCTTTAAATGTTTTTGTAGTGTGTGTTAGGGGTTATGCTTAATTGTCTATTGTTTAAAGGTACTAAATATAGCTCTTATGATTTTAGCATGAAACATTAGCATCTGTTTGGGGCATTTTCCTGCCATCACAGTGGAAAGAAATAATTATGGCAGAACAAGCACTCTGCAAATGTAGCTAACAAATTCCATATACAAAGTAAAAACACTCTGTGATCTGGACCCACACAGAAAAAGGGTCCTTTTTGCCCACATCCTTCCTGGAGTCATAAGAGGCAGATAAGATTAAGGGCCAGAGCCCTGTTTTAGTTGATCCTTCACTTATTCTATAAGTGAAAGGGAAACTGAATTGTAGGACATTCATAGCTCTGTCAAATGGTCAAGAGTTTGGTAAGTCCTTCTCTTGTCAGTACTGTGAGATGTGGAAGAAGGTGAAATCTGTCTTGTAAAAGAGGCTTCATGAGATACGTGCTTGTATCTTTGTGGATTTCCTTTTCTGTTTTTCCAGCCTGGATGGTGACACTACAAAGCCCTGCCCTTGCCCACCTGTGGAAGTTGAAGGAGGAGAAAAAGCAAAGAAAAGTATTTTGAAAGAAAAGAGGGGAAAAAAGAAAAATAAGAGGACAACAGTAGACAAAAGGCATCCCAGGGAGACAATGTCAGACTTTGATAATCTTTTGTCTCTAGAAGTGAAGTTAAACAGAGAGGAAGAAATTCATTGTCTAGCAACAAGGAAGAAGTTAGAGGTAAAGATGTAGCTCTGGAAAGGTATAAATATTAGGAATTAAGCATTTGTGATGGGCCTTTAGCTATTTCCCACACAAGGAACAGGTTTCTGCATTTCTGAGTGTTAGCCAAGCTAGCTTTCCCATGTCCTGTATGATGAAATTCTTTCATCTCCTTTAGAAACTGTTCTTGACACTTTCCCAGCATGTGTTTTCACAGTAACAGCAAGAAATGAATAAAGCGTGTTCCAGCATATGCCACCTTAATTTCCCTAACAGCTGTAGTAGCAGAGAGGATGCAGTAACACCAAATATAATACCTGCTTGTAAGCAGAGTATATATTCCAGTCCCTCTACTGTTTTTTCTTTGTTAGATTAAAGTTATGTCTGTATTGCAGGTATTGAATTATTGCACCTGTAGCTCAATGCTTAAGAGGTTAAATTGCTTCTGGTGTATGAGCTGGCTCAGTTAAAGCTGACAGCAGTACCTATACTCCCTGTCACTCTGGAGCAGAGACTGGGCTAGTGTGGGCCTGCCATTACATGTCAGTCAGCTCTTCATTTTCAAGGTCCTACTGTGAGTGAAAAGATAACAGGGATTTTAGCCACACTTGTTAGGTGTACCTCCTTGTACCATTTAAAATATGTTTTCAACAGCCTCATTATTTATTTGCTTCCAGAAGTGATGTGTTACAAATTCACTCAATCATCATGTTTTCAATCAATTTAACTTGGCTCATCTGAATGTTCCTTCAGTGTTCTCAGTCATCCTTTAAAGATGGACTGCAAATTCCATTTACATTGCTTATAGTGGGTATTATAGAGCCCATTATATAATGGGCATTTTAAGAGTGGCCTGATCAGAATTATATGAGAGCAGAGGTGTTGGGCTTGTCCAGTAAGAATCCATGATTTCCAAAGGTGAGGCTACGTCACTGGAAATGCTCAGTTATCCCAGATGCCTCTTCCTCTTTGAGATGCAGATGCTGAGGAAATGTGAAATAATCCTAATGTGATCAGCAGGTCCTGTAAATTATTCCCTGCAGCTTGGAGGAAAGATTACACGAGAGCAGTGGTTATCTATGCATTTTAATCCTGCCTAGACTTAGCAAATAATCTCACAGTGTTCTAATAATTGTAAGCAGGTCAAACATGCTGAAGAAAGTACCTTGTCTTCTTCTTGTGACACCATAAATGTTGAATATGTTTTTTTTTTCCTCCAAAATTTATTTCAATTTATATATCCTTCTGTGTTTTGTCAGAAAGGGAAAAGTCAGAGCTGATAAAGATGTTAAGTAACACTATTTGGTTGTCCTCACATGGTTTCATTAGATACCTCTTTATCCAACCTCTCTACATGACTGTGTATTTATCCTCTTTGGTTGTAGATAGTTGTCCCATTTTCATACCATGCAAATGTTTCACAGCACTCTGTGTATATCATTTTCTAAGTTATACCAAATGTGCTACCTGCCCTCTGATATACACATCTCTTTGAACTGTGTTAATGCTGGATTTCATTTTAAAGATGAAGAGAATAAAGAAAACAAATTTGCCTGGCATTTTGTTTTTTCCTTCTGCTCAACTTCCAGTCAAGTATGAACTATTAGTTTACACATACTTCTTGGCAGTTCAATATGTGTTGAGCACCAGATCTGTGAGATTCCCCTATGCAAGTTAACACTTTTCCTTAGAAGTTGTCATATTTGATTACATTGATGTGGGTAGGTGTTAAATAACATGGATGAGGAGTTGGAAAGCCCTGCCATTCTAATGAATTATTCAGTTAGTCTCTGTGGACAGGTATTAAAAATATCAGGTATGTAACAATGGACTTTCCCTTCTTGGAGTTTTTGTAGTGCTGAAATAAGGCTGGATATTCAGGTCAGGAGCCTAAACTGCACAAGTGAGGTGCAACAGCCTGTTTTCCTCTTCAGACCCCTGTATCACTCTGAAGTCTCAAATATTGACTTTCATATGCCAGACACACCAATGTTCATCAAAATGATCCTTTTCCAGGTTTTCCTAGTAGTTGATTTCATTACTTTGTTATTTCTGGACTGTTTATAACAAAGGCAGATCTTTAAAAACATTCAGCATTTCAGAGAAATGTTTTGAATAGCTGTAATAATAAAAACTCTTGTAGTTAAATATCTTTTACAGGGACAAGGTTAAGCTTTTTTTTTTTTAGATTTCTAAAAGCAGTCTGTTCAACTGGGTTTATCTGAAAGATGTATATTCCTCCCACATATTCTTTTCCTTCTAATATCAAATACCTAAATAATTTGAGTATCATTTAACTTCTGAAAAAGCTCAATAGTCCTGATCTGTTTGACTGAAGTAAAGGAATTTTCTTCATATTTATATAAATGTTTTTGCTATGTATGTATGTATGTTTCTAATGCATTAAAAGCATTTAATGCCAACAGTGTTTCTTGCATTTCTTTTACAAAGGTTTTTGTCACTTCTTATGTCCAGATACATATGTATATGCACACACACACATGTACATAAATACATGCATACATACATACATACATACATACATACATATGTTTAGTAATCTGACTGGGCTGTGTTTTCTAACTGTTTCATGCATTAATCAACATTTCTGCTTATGTTTCTGCTGCCTTCATGTGTACATTCATAGGTTATATGAGGAAGTAAGTTCTCCTAAACTTGAATGAGCATTGCTATATTCCAGGATGGATTTTTGTGCTTCCCAAGTTAATGTGGATTCAGCTACATGGCTCTTATATAGGTGGTTTATGAAGCCTTGTTTCCCATAAAGCCTTATATTTCCACAGACCTGCGGGCCCTATATGAATTAAGGGAATTTGGACTGTCTGTGGTTTGGTTTATGCTCAGCTAAAATATTTCTGATTGTTAAGAATAATCAACTGCCCATTCCTGTTGGTCCCACTTGTGGAAACAGCATAAACAGAAGTGAATAAAGATTAAATAATTGTGTTAGTTGTTTAGCATATATTAGCTTAATTATTGTGTTGAATTCTGCTTTATTGCTTCCAGAACTTCTGTACTTGAAACATTATTATTTTGATGTGTATGCTAGCCACTCTTACTGTGTTAGTCAGCTCTGTGTGTTTATAAGAGAGCGAATGAAAGCCTGGCAAATTCCTGCTGACTGTTGACTGATGATTCTTTGTCTTGGTAACTCAAATAATACTATTTGATGTAGCAAGACCATTGATACTTAACTCTGTCCTTGGTTATTGCAATAATTGTTTTTATAGGTGCAAGAAAATAATGTATCTCTTTCTGAGAAGAAAAATTCTTCTGCCTGTCTTTCTAGTTTTCTCTCTGTTCTGTAATGCCTAAAATCAGTGTTCATTCCACGTAACCTCCTTGTCAATTTTCTAAAATGTGTATCTAGTAAAAAAAAAAAATTCTGAAAAAATTAGAGTGAAGTACAGGTATGATACACAGTAATACACTGCATTGCCTGATGCATTAGCAAATAATCGCTATCAGAGCCAAAATCTCCTTTTTCATTTATAATGAGATGTGACTTGAAGCAATTAGGCTGATAATTACTGTAACTGCCAATATGGGGTAGTTGGGAGACCTTTGAAAATTAACATTTTCTGTCCTTTTCTGTGGCAAATGTTTGTCTGAATTGGGTTCAAGAGTGGAGCAGCTGTGGCACCTGGCATTCTAGTGGGTTGGCTGGATTTCCTGCAGTAGGATTTTCCATTTTTAGCACCCACTTGTTTTCCAGTCTCATTTTCCATCTAGTCCATTCAGCATTTGGAGAAGGCTATCATAATAAAGCAGTGTTCCCATCTGTTGGTCATGGCTTGTTTAATGAGCAGTTGATGTCAATTCAGCTATGCCTGCATCTGTTCTTTTCTGCAGCTGTGTGTGGCTAAGGGCTCCCCAACATCGGCCAGATTTAGCTTTTTTTTGTCTCTTGATACCATGTTACAGCTTGGCCAGAAATGTTCTGTCTTCTCTCAGGGTTGTCTGCTCATGGAAAGTGTGCTAAACTCTCCTTTTCTTTCCCCATAAAAAATGAAATATGGAGACAGGCAAGGGAAAAAAAAAGTATAATTCCACTGGTTTAGGAGGCGTGTTTGGGGGTATCTCAGGGCAAAGATGGAGGACAGGTCAGTCCAGATCCTAAGAGCAAGACCAGAATGGGTTCTTTCAGCATCTTGGGAAGCAACATAGCCTGTGCACTGGCTGAAGACAATTAACAGGTTGTGAACTGTGTGTGATGGGGAACATTCATTTAACAGTGCAGCTTCCACTTTACTCGTGGAAGCAGTATGGTCACAATACCTTTCAGCGTTTTAGTCTGGAAATGCTTTTGTACTGTAGACAGGACACAGTCGAGAAACTTCGTGACCCTTACAAGTGTGAACTCTAGATTTCTGTCTCTTAGAGTGCTGAAGAAGAATAAGAATGTTCCTTTTGTGTATATAAGTGCTGATGGTGCACATTTATATTTTCAAAGGCACACTTATGGTTTTTAAACTGCAGCTTCAGAGTTTCAGTGGTAGCTATTGATGACAAACATTCCTAAAACTAATCATACTCAAATCTCATGCTCTATTATGTATTCAATCTGCTGTTGCTTCTCCAACCTGTACATCATATACTCATCCTTCTTTATTCTTCTGATTCCTTCCACAGTTTTGTTTTCTACTACACAAGTGGTTTTTATATGATCATTGAAAACCAAAGTTTGAAGCAAAATACAGTATATGCTTTTGTTTACTTTCTTCCTATTTTATTCTCTTTTGTTTTTCCTCCAGCTTCTGGTCTTATGTCATTCATTATGATTGTCATCATTTTGTACCAGGAGGGTGCCTGGTAGTTGTGGTCTCATTTGATATGACTAAAAAGTGATTCTTCAGTGATCCTTCAAAGAAGGGTCAGACAAAGGTCCATGTATCCTATCCCCTATACCCAGAAGTTCCTGAAAGATGATTCCTGAGAAAGAGTAAGATCAAAATTGGCCTGTGAATACTACAGCTACAAGCTACAGACTTAGAAAATGAGAATACTTTAAAATACCTGAAAAACAGACTGGTTTGAACTTGTGAGGAAGAAAGCAAAAAATCTTTATGCAGAACCACTTCTCTGTTAACATAGTCATTGAGTTACTCATTTATTGACAAATTTCAGGGGGTGTTTGAACTGTGACATCCAAGTTCATGGTGGGTCACTGTGTTCTCTTGCTAAAGAGTCCTAGCTCTCTCCTAGCATCTTCCCTCTCCATTTCATGATCCTGGTGTTCATCAAGGTGCCAAACTCTGCAGTTGTCGAGAGCTTCACCTTCCAGCCCACTGAAGTCTCCCTGACACTTGCACAGTCCAGCTGTAGG